ATTCTGATGGGAAATCAACATTTTGTCCCCTTCTTGCTCATAATAGTCATAAAAATCAACTTGATATGTTTAGAAAGGGAGCCGATTTCAGGTTCTTGGTGTAAATTTGTGTTTTCTTCTCTCCATTCATCGTTCTCACATGTGAACTAGTCTTGAGAATACTTCAGTTCAGCATACTTTGAGTTACCCAGAGTACTTCTTTTATCGCCAGTGAGACTGTATTGTGAGTTGAGTGTTCGCAATGTATTAACAAGAAATTAGAAACCTGAAACTACTTTCAAATGATTCTATGATCATAAGGTTTCCAATTAACTATTGTTATTATGCCAGTACATGAAGTATTGAGTATCATGTGCTATTACAAATATTTACACATGGCATCTGTAGTATCAGCCTTCAAATTACTTAGTAATGGATGACAAAGTTCAGAAAATGGAGTTGCCTTTCATGGCCACAGTCGGAACATGTGGTTGGCATTTTCCTGGGGACATCATCTGCTGAGTGCTCACTCGCAGGGGTTTATCTACAAGAGATATATATTTCACAAGGGCAGCCAGTGTCGGTGGCCGATATGTCCCGATATGCAAATGAGAAGCAAGAATAGACAGCTGACAGATCTATTAGCCCACATGTAGTGTACATCATGATACATGGCCTGTTGGCTGCATAAGCTCCTCAGGTACGAATAATAAATCAGTGATGTTATTTTAGCTTATCTGTTCTGCTGGAAAGCAGACTGGTCTGGACCAAGCATGAGTTGGGATCTGAGTGTGCCCCCCTGGACCATAAACCTATCCCTGTTCCAACCTCCCCAAGGCTCGGCCTGAGGGTCAGACTATGCTTCACTTTGTAGATCTAGCCACTACTCAAAGTCCACTCTTTGTCATTCAAAACTGGAAGGATAAATGTCCCTTAGAAGACAAGCTTGAGTTTGATGGAGTTGTGATTGCTGGCGTGGACATACTATCTATAAATACCACGTTTAGTGTTCCCTCTTCAAGCAACAACCTTGTGTCCCCTATGAGAAATTCCACAGATAAGGTAAATTCTTCCCCACAGTATACACAGTAAAGTTTACATGCTGGTTAGGGGCTAGGCCCTGGCTGATGCACTGCATTCTTTGAATATTTATACAAGTTTGTTTGCCTTTTGAAAAAGTATGTCTGAAACTGTATCGTGGTTCAATAAACCCACATTGATTATTACGGACAAGGGTTCCCGGTCGTCATTAATATCTGCATGTCAACCATCAATAACTTGCTGGCCCTAAGCTAGGCTTGTCAACTGCTACGAGATCAGTTGGGCTTTTGTTACAAGTTGAGATACAAATCATTCCCTTTAAAAACCCTTGTCATGTGGAAGTAAGCTTCCCTTGAAATTCAGGTTTAGGGCAGCTACAATGATTGTCAGTGTGCGTATTGTACCCAATGTTGATAGTCAACAAAAGCATTTCTCAATTGAAGAGCTGAGTTTGTCAATGGGAGAATGGTTGTTTGACCAGGAATCGGAGAGGCCTGCACACTGTGCTCCACACTCCCTCCTCCCAAAATGGTGTGGCCCTCTTTCTGCAGGGTGTTTAACTGCATCAACGGACGTCTGCCTATTTCGTCTCCACTTTCAAGCCAGATCAATCACCTAACACTCAGCCTTTTGATTACCCAAAATGTGATTGGTTCTTAAGTTCACTGCCCCGGGTAGAGAACAAGCCAAGAAAGAAATCTTTTGTCTTTTAATGCATCAGCCAGAAAGGCTTATTACCCACTGGTGCTTTAATGAACATAAGAGGAAGGAGAGAAGGCGAATTCCCCATGCTAGAGTTACCTCTTTGTGTCGGTCTAGAAGACCCATTGGCATTCCTACGTTGCTTGTCAACTTACCCCAGCTCCTGGCTCTAACTCCACAGCTTTGTCACAGTGTATTGCCAGACTAAATTGTTCATTCTTTTCCGACTGAGTAAGTGTGTATAGACATATGCATGCAACATATATGCAGTATTATTTAACCGAGTTTTGTTCAAATGTCTGGTGCATATTTACTTTGTGGATGAATAATGGTGACTATCTATTGATTAATATTGTAATTTAGGAGTGTTATTCTGTGCGATCATTAAGTTCCAATATATACTAAGATCCAATATCATCAGAGTTTGTCTGTGTCGTCATGGGCATTGTTGTGTTGAGGAAATTTAATTATGGATATTGGTGATATATAATTCAGCATTATTTCATATAATGTCTTCATTCATATGTCTGTATCAAATTCCTGTGATCTTGTTTGTTCACTTATTCACATTGAGAATAATATTTTTACCCGAACATGCTGATATTGATGGGGGGAATCTGACACCACATAATCTTCATAGGTTGATGTGACTTTCCCATCATGAGAAAACAATGCTATTGATGTAAGATAGGGACAAAGGCAGTGTCATTACTCACAATATCCACAATATTGAATTATTCCCAGCTGTCTGTGGGGAGGTGTGTCCAACAAATATTGATGACAAAATTATAGATTTATGTTTCAAATTGTGTGATAATTTATACTCAACATATGTGCTGAACTGCATTACAAGATGTCTGCAGGAACAGATGTTGACCAGTTAACCATGGCATGCAAATGATGTATGCATTATTCTGGATGAAAAACATCAGTGCAACATAACTATAGTATATGCTGTCAGTGATGTTTTTAGAATTAAAGAACATGAATAAGTATGATAAGGATGCAATTCTATTGTGCCTGATGTATATCTATGTTTCTACACCACATACATATGCAAAAATGTAAATAGTGAAATTTGAGAAGTCTATTTATTGAAAAATAAAATTGTATATATCATTATATTTTGAATGCGATCAACATTGCATATATTAGCAGCATTTCATATATGTAGGCAAAGGAATGTACTTTTTGTTGGTAACAATGGATCGGAATGATGTTATTGGAAATATTAACAAGTGCCCATAGCAAGGAGAGTGTGGAAATATTTTCAGTATAAACATAAATTAAAGATATTTTTGTAGCACACTGTGATCTCAAACCTGTAACGTTGCATAAATATTGTGTGTTTCATAAGTAAACAAATATGTATCTGACAATGGAGCTCCAAAACGGCTCTATTATAAATGTCATATGTTTTTCATAGGCAAATATTTGTGTATTTGCAGCGACACATTTTATCTGTTGGAATAATTAAATCGTCATATTTAGAAGAAAAGAAAATATATGCTCATAACAGCATAGCTCCATAAATGGGATAAGTGTATATTTGGATTTTAATCAGCCAGTAAGGTATATTGTCACAGTTTGCACAATGTACCTGATAGAGAGTATCCATATTTAACAACAAATGTTGCCCATAGTATTGCCCATATTGATAGTTTATTCTCCTGTCAGGTAATATTAACTAATCTAGTAATCATAGCCTTTATCTACATGGGTTCCACGATCAGCTATGATCATGGGTTCAATTCCCAAATTTTCACGATTATGATCCTTGTTTTTAACATGGTGAACGTCTATGACCTGCATCGCTTTGTCATCCCACATTGAGCTGATGTACTGTGATATAACAGAAATGCTGTATCATACATGTATGGTCATATCGCTATTATTAAATTGCATATGAAAGGTATTACACAGTAACCCACTTTGAGGTACCAGATCTATGCAGCAAGATCTCACTGCATCTGTTCAATTCAGAAGTCCCTCATTGCATTCAAAGATGTTGAAAAGATAGGATCAATTTTATACATTTCGGTATCAGTGGGTTTTTTCATATTGTCTGTCAACTACAAAGTATATGACAGATAGGAATTTATTACTTCTGTATAAATGAGTGGAAGAGAAGGAAATTTTCATTGCTCCTTGAGGCAATAGCCTTTGCATATTTTAGTCCGTAAGACATGGATTTACTTTTTCTGGGTTTGAATCCTGTGTTTATCTTGATTGTGATCGTTTATGAAATGTATGTCTTTGTGATCTTCCACTGAAGACTGACATGAGCAAATTAGTAATATACTGTGCCAAATATTCAAGGCAGCGACAGACTTATTTCTCTGACTTTTAATGTTTCTCTAATGCTGTGGAAATGAGAAACAATACCTATCTATCTTGAAGTTTTTGTTCATCCGATAGACAAAGCGTTCGAGGCGAGATATTTCAATAGTCGTAGGTCTTTGTTAAACTGAGGTATTACGATGTTCATAGCGCTACAACCCTACACACTAGCACCAGGTGTAGGCTTGGGTGCCTCCAGGGCCTACTAGCGTTACAGCCACTGCATATTGTGCATTGTGCATTGTAGACATTACTCTCACAATGCCTTATCAGAATGCCAATTACAATGTTAACATGCATAGAGCAATCCGATGCTGTTAAAGGGAATACAATGGATGAATATTTTTACGAGTATTATCTTCAGTGTAATAAGACGGGATGGTTTCAACTGAGTGGAAATTTGGAGCCCAAAGTGAGGACTGTTTCAGGCATCTGTAGCTTTTGATAATAGTGTTTATATATGTCTTGTTATGTTGCTATGGTAATATTAAAAATAGTTTTAAATGGTATTTGTCACAGGATATTTTGTTGGTTGTTTTTAGTAGAAGTTTCTAGAACATACAGTTCATGGTAGGACTCTAACAAGCACTCGGGTCTGGGTCAGTTTATAAAACTTGGAGTCCATTATTGATGTGGTCAGTACTCGCTAAGGGGAAATACCACACAATTCACTTACTTTGGTCATTTCAGCACACTTGTTGTATATCATTAAAGGAAGTTGTCTCGCACTATTAATCACTGGTTTATGTCTCAGTTAATTGCAGACTGCTGCCATAGCTGAGCTGTTGCTGACTGTCATTAAAATTAATAACAAACACTGGAAGAATTTATATAGATATGATTTAATATTAGATTGTTGTTTACTGGCAAATGTGATTTACACAAGATTTTGTATCCGTATCTTTGTTGATATTTAAGATTGTCTTGATATGTTTCAGGCTTCCACTTAAGCGGAACGATAACAGAGCCTGCCAAACCCCTTTTCTCAGAGCCAGAAAAACCATACCAAGTATCAATAAGTTTTGACAGGTAAATTTCCTTTTCTACATGTACACTGGTGGTAGGGTAGAGTTCCCTTGTCACACCAAGTATCAATAAGTTTTGACAGGTAAGTTTCCTTCTCTACATGTACACTGGCGGGAGGGTAGAGTTCCCTTGTCACACCAAGTATCAATAAGTTTTGACAGGTAAGTTTCCTTCTCTACATGTACACTGGCGGGAGGGTGTAGAGTTCCCTTGTCACACCAAGTATCAATAAGTTTTGACAGGTAAGTTTCCTTCTCTACATGTACACTGGCAGTAGGGTAGAGTTCCCTTGTCACACCAAGTATCAATAAGTTTTGACAGGTAAGTTTCCTTCTCTACATGTACACTGGCGGGAGGGTAGAGTTCCCTTGTCACACCAAGTATCAATAAGTTTTGACAGGTAAGTTTCCTTCTCTACATGTACACTGGCGGGAGGGTAGAGTTCCCTTGTCACACCAAGTATCAATAAGTTTTGACAGGTAAGTTTCCTCTCTACATGTACACTGGCGGGAGGGTAGAGTTCCCTTGTCACACCAAGTATCAATAAGTTTTGACAGGTAAGTTTCCTTCTCTACATGTACACTGGCGGGAGGGTAGAGTTCCCTTGTCACACCAAGTATCAATAAGTTTTGACAGGTAAGTTTCCTTCTCTACATGTACACTGGTGGGAGGGTAGAGTTCCCTTGTCACACTGAAGACCGGGTTTCAATTTCCCACATGGGTAGAATGTGTGAAGCCCATTTCTAGTGTTCCCTGCCTTGCTGGAATATTGCTAAAGCGGCATAGAACTGACCTCACCCACTCCTTCTCTACACTCAGTATGTCATGATATATGCTACTTGCCAACAGTGATACTCACTGCCATCTTAACTCGTAATATTTAACTGGTTACTTCACACACACTATGTTTTCGTCTATGTTTGGGTTCTGAAATATGAGCAATAAACAGTATGAAGTAGTATTTATATATCTTCCAATGTGGTTTAACTTTAATTTGAATTTTAATCAAACATCTACCATATTGTGTGGTCCACAAATTAAATGATGATGTAAATATAATATTAAATATCTGGTAAACAGATTCAGAACATTTTAAATGGTAGCTATCTCATGTTGAGTGCAGGACCTGGCAACCTTTACAATGATGAAGTAACGAGTTGAACAGAAATCGCTTCTAATCATCATAAAAGTGTTAGAGCATGGCCAATCTGTGCCAAGTTCACCTCTCCAAGGATCAGTTTTCAACAAAAAGTTGTAATTGAATTGAAATGTGACACCATTGATGTCAGTGACAATTTACTCTGAATGACATACTCGTCTCCTTTCGTTGATGAAGCTATTGACCATGTAGCCCCACCCCCTATGATTACAGCATCACCCACACTACCACCCATTCACCACCCCTTTTCACCAAAATCAGGGAGTGTAGCAAGGGGGACAACTCCGTCAAGAGGCCCTCTTCATTTTCAACAATGTTTTTGCAGCCAGTCAAGCATGCACAATTCCATCAGTGCACCTGACTTCACACATTGAAATTGCTAAGCTGTACATGAAAAGTTATCTCCACTATAATTTGTCTATGATGTATAATTAGGAAGAGGAATTATTGGCCTAAGAATCCAAGTGCTAACAAGCCGTTCCATGTTTGTCGTTGAGCGTCAGAGAAAGCCGTATTACAGAGGGCACTGGTCCTTGCCATGATGGTGGATGAATTTGAAAAACATTTTTCACATGAGAGAAGCACGGAAGCACAGACTTCTATTTTCCCCCCAAACCCCTTGAAGCGGAGATGTGCTTTGTTTGCAAACTTTATTGCCATTTATCAGTGTTTATTTCATGAAAAGACCCATATGATTGAGCCTGGATTAGACGTTGTCTACTAATTGCTTGCTGTTACAATGGATTTATGAGATTTGGGTGCAGAACTGGTTGTCATGCAGACAAAATGATGCAAATTGCGATTAATTTTGTCAACCAGAAGTAGAATTCATGTTTTTAGTCTCAAGATTCCCAAGATTTATGGTGTTGATTACAATTGCTAATAGAACAAAACAAACTATCAAGTTTGATCACATTTTTTTTCACCACCGAAGGAACCAATTAGGGCCATTGTGAACCTGATGATTCAAAATGCAAAAATATAATTTCAGGTTTAAAGGATTGTGTGGTTATTTTCAGCAGTTAATATTTCTGCCATTATACTCACTGAATGTCTATTAACTTCAACTGAAATTCCAATTATTTGGAGAAGCTAAAAATCAATATTTACTAGAAAGGAAACAGTTAGTTTGAAAGTATGATTGAAGTCCACTAAACATTTGAGAGGAACTTTATATAAAACAGCTGGAAACGAGAATAAAACATTTCCATCTCAATGGCCGCTTTCAAGTTATCATTCCAAGGACTTTACGGCTTACAAAGAAAGACATGGCGATATGAGGTGCACACAAGCTCAGAAAATGCATTTAGTTTGAATATACTGAAAAGCTGTCTGACTCATTATCCAGGTTTATAAAGATATATTGTTACAATAATAATAAGAATAAAAGCGTTTAGAAATGTTTTACTGGGTGGATTTCTCACTGTCTATTTAAGTTAAATTCTGCGTGCACATTTTCAAATTGAAAAAAGAGGAATGACGTAATATGAAATAGTTTTATTGTTATAAACATGATAAATCGCTGAGCGTTTTTCCCCTTGATCTCTTTGTATCTGTTTTGTGTTTCCTGGGGCCCCTTCTATCTGCTTTTTTTCATAAGGAATACTTGAGACTCTTTTGACTATTTCCAATTCATCAAAGGTTGTTAATATGCAAGTTGAATGTGAATTCAAATGAAGTCTCAGATCAGGTTCAGGGGCAACCACCTGTTGTAGAGTGCATTTTGAGTTTGGGAGGATTTATATTGAAGCATCAGTATCGTGGGATTTGTTAAAAAAAAAATCAACATTGTAAATGATCAAGTTTAGGATTTTTAAAATACTGATGTTGAGCGAGGAAGTTATTACCTTAAGTGTTTGTGTTTTTGGTGTATTTTATTTATGGTTTGAAAATATTGCTCTTGTTTCATGGCTTTTGAACAAACATTTTAGCAATTGTAAAATAAGTTATTTCCCTTTGTTAAGAACATGTTTAATCATTTCCAGTGCTATGATAATACTGTAAACATGCTTGAAATATTTTTTTATAAAAATTGCTAACAAAGATGTTTTTGTTTCAGGTGTAAAATTACATCTGTAAAATGTGGCTGTGGAAACCGAGATATATTCTGGTGCCACCATGTGGTGGCGCTGTCACTGTATCGGATACGGAAAGCAGACAGTGTGCAACTACGGGTGCCGATATCCGGTAGGTACTGGCATAGACACACTGTGTGTTCACCATAGTGCAGGGATGTGGGCTAGCCTAGTAGTTAAAAGTGTTCACTCATCACGCTGAAGTAAAACCAAACTCACTCATCACAATAGTGGAACAGACTTCATCGAGCTATACTGACAAATATACTGATGTTACTGAGGGTGACATAGTGATGCTCTGTCTGTCTGACAATGTTTGATCATCTAGGTACAAACAGGATTCAGTGGCAAGCCTTCAGTTTACAGCTGGTGTCATTTGTCTTTTAATCAATGTATTGTGATGGGTTTTACAGATTGATGTAGTTATAGTTTGCAGTCTGTGACAAACCTTTAGTATCTACTAGCCTGAAGTTTGCTCATAGCATCAGGTTAAATTTATGTGAGCGTTGCATGGTGATCTTTACTTGAGATAAAACAGAATTTTACTACAATCAGGCTTCTAACTTGTGGCTAAAGTTTCAGTCTGTTTTTTGATGTTTAATTGTTGGATGAAACAACTCTTTAAGACTCGGTTTAGGACTAGTGGGTCAATTTTTTCAGATTGATGGTGTCTATCAGAATGTGAAAAGTCCTAACGTCATAGAGATATTAAGTGAAAAAGTATATTTTTTGAGTGGTGGAATGTCACTGTTTGATAAAGGCGTTAAACAAGACAAATAATAGAAATGTTTGAAAATTTGTTTGCATTACTTTTGTTTATCTTTTAAGAAAACATCATCTTCATAATCATATCCTTTAAACATGTATCATGTATGTCGATTAAACTGTCCCAAATAATTAAATGGTTGTCAATTTCATGATAATATTAACATGCTTTTGTATTATGTTGCATGTAATATTTGATATTCTGATAGGGAAAGTATTGTGAAAGTAGTTCAGTATTTTCCTTATCAATGGTTGCAGATTAACATGTGCAAGGCGAACAAATTCAAACATATCTATTTGCCGAAAAGAATGTGAAAATACCACCAGAGATCGTTAAAAGAATGAATGTCAGAAATTAAAAAAAGATGACCTGAGATCCAAGGCAATCAAAATGTCTGGATGAGTGCGTTTTAATGCATGTGTCAGTTACATAGCATTATCAAGCCAACAGCAAAGTATTTTTTTACTTGTGAGGTTCAGTAAGCCGTAAATTCTTCGGTGACAGCCATTTTGAAAATTAATGATTATGACTCTGACTGAAAATATTTATTGCTTGGTGACATTGTAAGATGATAATAGCAGAACATTTTGACAATTAAGCTGTGAAGTTTCATAGAATTAAAATGGTTATTCTCTTTTAACTAAATAAAAGATGGTGGCTTAAACTTTTAGTTCATGTTTGTTGTCATGGTTGCTGTTTCTGTGTTGGATGCTCATAAATATTTATCTTTGAAATATTTGTTATGGAGCTCTTACACTTGAACTAATTCAAACTGAATGTTGCTTTATGGTTGGACTCTGAAGGAGGGTTTTAAATTAATCCACTTGGAACTAATGGATGAGTTTCACATTACAGATAATTTTCCTCCATAGCTTCACCGAGCACAGTAAGGGTTGAGATAGAGGAGCCGTGTTGTTTTGTACCTAGCACGTCAACTCAGTGTCTGTTCAGGCATACATCAAGCAAAACCAGTTTTTAGGATAGTGTTTTCTCACAAAATTATATATCTGTGTTGTTTAGATTGTATTATGTTATGGCTTGTAGGTTATTTTTGTAAAGATAGTTTTGATAATTTTTCAGATTCTCTTTCCATCAATAATAGGTGATTCAGATAGATATCCCTTAAAATGTATTCAACATGAAAGTTTATCATTTATCAATTTGTGTGGATGCTTGGTTGCTCCTGTTTACTGAGCATATGAAAGGTATGTACTGAGAGTCTTTGTCGCAAAACTATTTGCAGTGCAACAGTGTGTGAAGCTGGTTTAATAGTGCAAATTCTGACCTTTACTTACTGAAAAGATTTCGTTGACAAGGAATCTTAAGATGGTCGCTTCCAGAATTGTCCTTTGTATGTTTCATTGTTTTGGAGGATGCTAGTAACATATATAACTCTTTTATTTTGTATATATGAAAAGACTCACAGGCATAGTTAATAACAATACTATAGAGTTTTTTCGTTGATATTTCTCGCCAAAAGCTAATAGATACACAATACTTCAGTTCATATATCATGAAAATGCACCAACAAGATCCACTTGCACAAAGTCATCTTAGGTCTACAGGTTGAACTCTGTTGTTTGTCTGTGTACACTGTATGCTATACCACTCAACTTTTCAGAAAGAAAATCAGACATGTCCTGTTTAATTACACACTTGACTAAGGAGAATATTTGTGTATGAGGGGAAAATAGCAAATATTCCTATCAAAAGTGGAGCAGTATAGCTTTGATAGATTTGATTTTACTACATATTGTACATGTTTATCAAGTAGAGTCAGTATCAACTGTGTTACATTAATGTCCCATGGACACACAATGGGAGTCATGCCTAATTAGTACCTCTACTTTGAGCAATGCTGTATTTATTCTGAATGCTGAAAACCTAGAAATAGATCCAGGTCACATCGAGTTCACTTCACAAGAACATGTCTCCATGATGTAGAATGATAAGGAGAGGTGTAGTGGTCCCATGAATATATCGTATAACATGTATGGATCTGATATTGGAATAATTAAGGTTTAAAATAGTATGATTTATGTTCAAAAGTGTTCAGATTGCATCCACCAAAGGAGTACAATATATTCTTGGGTTAAAAGTCCGTAGTTGGGTGTCTTCTTCATGTGCTTTCACTGTTATTTTCCTATCTGTCAGCCAGTGTCTTGCTGTCTGTGTGTTTAATCAGAAAGGCTCATTAGCCAAACGGGTCAGGTTGCAGACTTAATAACAGGGTAGAATGTTGCTTCTAATGGCCAGTCTATGTTGTAAAGCTCCTATGTAGCTGATTGAAAACTTGATGCTCGGGTCTATTCTATCAATTGCCTGAGTAATGTCTTTGATAAAGCACAAATAACGGCTGCTTAAATTAGTAAAGCTGGAGCTATTACTTCTCTGGGTTTGCCGTTTGAGTCTGTCTACTGAAAATACTTTATAAATATCTTTGTTTGAACCGATTTGAGGAACCTAAAATAAGTACCGTTTGTGTGATTGATAGGCACTTTATAAATATAACCTGTATTTTTTAGCATAAATTTCACTTGAATGTCGTCTCCAAACTTTTTATCATCAGTGCTGACCCAAGGAAGTGTTTTGCCTCCTGCATTATAACTTACCGGTCTAGAAATCGTGTGAAACAAATGATATTGGTGGCAAGATTTGTTGGTAGATGTTTGAATTGCTAAGATGCCCAAAATTAAAACTGTCACAATTGCAATCTTTCAGATATATGGCATTGTTTTGACATATTATCAGTATTGCTTGTTCTACTTATAGCCCCTATATGGATCCCATGTTAGAATACATCTCCAGCAACCAAAGCTGGTTTTAAGAGACAACTCAAGACTCTCATACTCATACATGTATCATGAATCTTTGGGTTGTCTGCCCCTGATTCCAGTATTTACTGCCTGTCATCAGCTGCTGGCAATGATGGATTTTGGTGGTGGTGGCGGTAGTGAATTCTTAAACCAAACAGTGTGCATCATGATATCATGCAACCATTGAAAATGTTTCATGCAAAATATCAGTTGGTAATCTATTTTGAAGGATGTGATATTATTTTGACGCTATGTCGAACTTTTCTCCTCACCGTCTACTGTTATTTCTCAGCTGTTCATAATCACTATTTGGGCTGTAGGGTAGCCTAGAGATTAAGGCATTCACTCTTCATGCTGAAGGTCATGTTCTGTTCCCAAATTGGTACAGTGTGTAATGACTATTTTTTCTCATGTAACTTCGGGCGGTGGGGTAGCCTAGTGGTTGAAGCATTGGCTCTTCACGCCGAAGACCCGGGTTCGAATCCCCACATGGGTAACATGTGTGAAGCCCATTTCTGGTGTCCCCCGCCGTGATGTTGCTGGAATATTGCTAAAAGCGTCGTAAAACCAAACTCAGTCATATTACTTCAATATTGCTGACCTGAAATCAAACTCATTCAGTCATTTGTATTCTGCATGGCTTCCATTACAGAAACACTTCTACAGATGAGTCGAGAACAGCTGCAGAAATTTGCCCAGTATTTAATCGCAGAGCATCATACAGATGTTCTACCCACAGCCCAGAGGATAGCAGATGAAATCTTGCAGGCAATGTCTGAAATCAACATGCTTCCAGGTACGTCATTGATCATCTCGTCCAGTCCAGAAACTAACAAGTGTGTTAATATTCATTGAGTGCAAATGTCTTGTAGGAATTTGCTTTGTGAAATTTATGTGATGTGACAGATCCATTTGTTGTTCTGAGGCTTAACAAAGGAGTTTGAATTTAGATTCGTCCTGAGAGCTGTGTTGACAGGTATTGATAATGCTTGTTGGAAAATTGACATCTCTGCCGTGATGGCCAAACTCCATCGTTCTCTGGTATTGATTAATGGTAGCTTGTTTCCTTGCAGACTAATTCACATTTCATAAATGATCAAACTCAATTTATTTCGGATGATTTTTCACTGTATGAATATCAATTTGTTGTGGAATAATATACTGAGACATATGTTATCCCATTTGTGGAAATAAAAACAGTTCAGAGATAATGATTTTCTGTGGTATGACATATGTGCACATTTCATTATACATTCTGGTGCATGCATCAAGGATGATAAATGTGATAAAAATGAACATTTTTTAAAATAATAATTGCCTGTCATTCAATACCAAAGCCTTTGAAGTCTGTTTCTGTTTCACAATCACTAAGTGCTCATAGTTGTATAATATTTTGCACTACTGACTGAGCAGAATTTTGTCCTTGATGTGTGAAATGTAAGTGCCTGAGAATTACCATGAATCTGCAGGATGGAAGGGCAAAATAAAGATGACATTTATACGAATGGACACTGGGATTTTGCAGATATTCAAATTTACATCTATGGCTTTAGCATTAATTATTTCAACACCAGAACTCACTCTGTCTGAACACATTGCCTTGTGCATTCCTGTACTGCAGGGGTGGTGGGGTAGCCTAGTGGTTAAAGCATTCGTTCATCATGCCGAAGAGCCGGGTTTGATTCCCCACAATGTGTGGAGCCCATTTTGGTGTCCCCCGCTGTGATATTGCCAAAATATTGCTAAAAGCGGCGTAAAACCAAAACTCACTCACTCACTCCTGTACTGCACTCACTCGTTATTGGAGTTATTCTGTAGAACAATTTTCTGGTGTTGCAGGTGCCCCTGACCCCACAGCAGGTGCATCTATTGATGATGACAACAGTTGGCATTTGGATGAAGAACAGGTTCGGGAACAAGTTCGCACATTCCTCTCTCAGGGTGGATACCTCAACTCTTCCAATCAACTAAACTCCATGTTTGCCAAGGTAGGTTACTCTTTCAATAAAAACTTGACTCCTTGTTTGCCAAGGTATGTAACTCTTTCAATAAAAACCTAATGTTTGCTTGGTTCATAACTTAGAAAATCAAATTGTCTCTTTAAACACCATTCTTTTCTGTGGGAGAACAGCCATGTTAAAGTATTTGATACCTGTTGTTGAAACAGTATTTACAGCTGGGGTGTGAAGTGTATATAGGTCAGTATCAAATATCGAGTCATTATTAATCCTTTGAGATACTTTGAGAAGTGTTTATTGACTTTTGAATTTTGAAATCATGTCACTTTCCATAATGCAGGTGCGAGAGATGTTGCGAGCCCGAGATTCGAATGGCGCTCGAATGTTGACGTTGATCACAGAGCAGTTCCTGGCCGATCCCCGGCTGGCTGTGTGGAAGACACAGGGGACACCCATGACTGACAACTGCCGGCAACTCTGGGATGAGCTGGGTAAGAATGTAACCATACCACTTCCAAGTTAATCTGGAGACCTTGTGGACGCTTAGTGCTGCTGGGTTTGTTGTTTAATACAAGACACTTGATATCGATGTGAAACTTCTTTATTATGTACACACAACGTTTCTGGGCTAATATTTGCGCCATCATCATGTGCCAAGTCTGACCACCTGATATTATAGGTGTCCTCTTAAGTCAAGCATGGGTTGCTGATGACAAATTCTCACCCAGATCTTCATGGAGACACTTGCTGATGGAGATGAATACATGTGTTCAATAAGGTTAAACAAAACCTCATTCATCCTGCAGTTTCCACATGATTTCAGGAGTATACTGTCCTGATTAACAAGATTTGCCATATATTAATGTGATCAACCTTGTCTTAATATGTACACCGTTAATGACATGCTGTAATTCTATTTTGAGAGACTTTTGACTACCATGGAAACTTATTTCAGGTGCATTATGGGTATGTGTGGTGCTAAATCCAAGCTGCTCACCACTTGAGAAGGAACAGTGGCGCGCCCTTCTGGATCAGTGGATTGGGAACTCCCTGTGTCCCCTAGAGGATGCAGATGGGGGTCGGCAAATACCTGATGTACCCCTCACTCGGGATCTGTTAGCTGGAGGCACAAATAGTATGTGGACACAGTATATCTTACCTTTAAACAGGATGTTGCTATTGCTTTTGGGCTAATGGTGCTTGTTACTCCTGATATTTAAATGGCATTGTCTCTGGGTGTCATTATTATACAAGAGAGAAAAATATTGATATGGAGACAAATATTTCATATTATTTCTTATATAACCTTTTTAGCGAGCAAGCAAGTATGGTTTTACGCTGCTTTTAGCAATATTCCAGCAATATTATGGAAGGGGACGCCAGAAATGGGCTTCATACACTTTACCCATGTGGGAAATTGAACCCTGTACAACCAAACACTTTAACCACTAGGCTACCCCATTGCCTATATATCCTTTGGAATTTGCAGTTAGTTTATGTGTTGATATTATTGCATCCCTGTAACTGGATTATACGGTGATGTAACAGTTTGTTATAATGTGTGTATCTTGTCACCAGACACGCCCCCTCAGACCCGGCCACGCCCCAGGACCGTGTTTCAACACGCCCAGGAAGCAAGCCAGCTGACGTGGGAAGACCGACATCTACAGCTGATCGTCCACCAGGACAATTTCCACAGTCGTGATGCCTGGAACTCAAAACTCTTTGATTCCCGGGGACTTCCTCTCTGGCATGGTGAGTGCACAGAGTCAGCCATTGTTGTAAATGATTAGTCGAGTCAGTTTTATAACAATAATTTTTGTTGTCAGTCAGCAGTAAGACAGGCACGTAGATTTCTGAGAGAACAAATTATAGGTTAGAAAAAGAGTCCAAACAAATATGTGATTGGCCATTTTTTCAGACTAATTGTCAAAATATACTTCTGTCACAAGACTATGGTTGATCTGACATTTCATGACAAAAACTAAAGTCAGATAAAGGTAGTGATATTTCTTTTCTATTTGCAGAGCATATACCGACAGCTTGTGCCAGAGTGGATGCCCTGCGTTCCCATGGTTACATTAAAGAAGCTTTACGATTGGCTGTTTCTATAGTGAGAACAATGAAGTTAGAACAGAAGAGAAATCAGGAACGATACAGAGACTTGCAGAGAGATATAGGTATGTGTCGAGATAATTCAAATGACGCCACCCACTCTGTCTTCCTATGGATATATTCTTGGTGATATATTTTCAGTGACTGTCAAATATATCTTGAGCTTGCATTATCTTCTTTATTATCTTCTGCTGATACATATTATTAAATAATTATTGTAAATGAATGTTTTGTTTTTTGCAGTGTCAGCCAATCCTTGTATGTCAACATGTGGGTCAAGGTCACAACCACCTGTCAATCAAACTGGCCTGATTGGTCACCCCCTCAACCCAATCTCCGTACTGTTTGAAACTCTACTGGAGGCATGTATGGTGCCTGATGAGCATCATAGCAGTGGTGAGAAGGATGATGATGATTACTGTTAAATAATAATAATAACAACAAATTTGTGCATAACAAGCCTTTCTTATAACCCAGAACTTATGCTGAAAGTATATTATCACACTAGTGGTGTTTGGGCACAGACTGCTATCTGATTGTGTCTGGAGGCTTAGGCATTAGGAGTTAATCTAGCATTTCAACTTGATACTATATAAACCCATGTATATTAATAGTAGATAATTGTTGCCTTACGGTATGTTTTAGAAATTCATGGCCACATCTAGACATACAAAATATGTATATTGTTTGGTATTAATTTGCACATTTTGGACATTATAGAAATCTGAGTCAGAAATGAGTTCAGTATTGATGAATTTCCAAATGGACTGTTGTTGTTTACAGGGTCATCATCTTCAAGTTCAAGTTCTCGTAACAACAATAACAACAGTTCCAGCAACAACCATTCCTCATCTTCATCATCATCAACGTCATCATCTTCATCGTCATCATCCTCACAGTGCTACACACACTTTGCTGAAGGATTAGTATCCGGGGAAACCTACCTCACTCTAGCCATAGAAGTGGCTCTCATAGGTACGACTACAGTCATGTAGTATATTTACTGCTTATTATCATCTCAGTGAAAGAGTGAGTTTAGTTTTACGTCGCACTCAGCAATATTCCAGCTACATGGCTGCGGTCTGTAAATAATCGAGTCTGGACCAGACAATCCAGTGATAAACAGCTAGAGCATCGATCTGCGCAACTGGGAACCGATGACATGTGTCAACCAAGTCAGCGAGCCTGACCATCCGATCCTGTTAGTCGCCTCTTACGACAAGCTTGGGTTACTGAAGATCAATATTCTAACCCGGATCTTCATGGGTGTCATCTCAGTAACAGTTATGCCAGATGGAATTATTGTGAACATTCAAGAGATCTTTATGAAAGAGTGCATGAACAAGATATGGATAGCACAGTAGCTTATGGGTTTGATTCCGACATTGGTGTATCACAGGAAAATCTTATCATATTTTAACTGTAATGTTGTTGGAGTTTGGGGGGTTGTTATTCTCATTCTCCCAAGTTTTAAGCCACAGAAGCTGCTGATCAGTTGTACAGTGAATGATTTGTTGTGTATAGGTCTCGGGCAGCAGAGAATCATGCCCTCAGGACTGTACGCTCAGGAGAAGGCGTGCAAGCAGGAGGAGAGATTGCTGTCCATGTTGCACAACATTCCCTCAGACCCGGTGATCATCGGCGTCATGAAGAGCCAGGCCACGCTGTTGTTGGAAGGTAGGTCCTGGTAAAGGAAACAGTGTTGACTTGTTCAGGTTCATGGACGGCTCATTCATCCAGTCCCATTCAGGGGATGTTATTATGAATGGCAGATGTATAGAACCAGTCCAATTCAGGGGATGTTATTGTGAGTGGCAGACGTATAGAACCAGTCCCATTCAGGGGATGTTATTGTGAGTGGCAGACTTATAGAACCAGTCCCATTCAGGGGATGTTATTGTGAGTGGCAGACGTATAGAACCAGTCCCATTCAGGGGATGTTATTTTGAGTGGCAGACTTATAGAACCAGTCCCATTCAGGGGATGTTATTGTGAGTGGCAGACATATAGAACCAGTCCCATTCAGGGGATGTTATTGTGAGTGGCAGACATATAGAACCAGTCCCACTCATGGGATGTTATTGTGAGTGGCAGACGTGTAGAACCAGTCCCATTTAGGGGATGTTATTATGAATGGCAGACATATAGATCCAGTCCCATTCAGGGGATGTTATTGTGAGTGGCAGACGTATAGAACCAGTCCCATTCAGGGAATGTTATTGTGAGTGGCAGACGTATAGATCCAGTCCCATTCAGGGGATGTTATTGTGAGTGGCAGACGTATAGAACCAGTCCCACTCATGGGATGTTATTGTGAGTGGCAGGCGTATAGAACCAGTCCCATTTAGGGGATGTTATTATGAATGGCAGACATATAGATCCAGTCCCATTCAGGGGATGTTATTGTGAGTGGCAGACGTATAGAACCAGTCCCACTCATGGGATGTTATTGTGAGTGGCAGACGTATAGAACCAGTCCCATTCAGGTGATGTTATTATGAGACATGGACAGTACTGTGATCTTGTGGAGCTCTATCTTAAGCAAGCATAAATATGTGTATTTCAGGTGGTCCCAGCAGCGGGTTGGGCGTTGGCATCCACCCGGAGAGCTACCCCATGCACACATTCGCCCGCTACCTCTTCAACTGTTTGCTTCCTGTCGATGTCGACCTCGCCTACATGATCGGCATGAGGGCTATGAGGTAGCCATCTTTCCATCACCACTCCCTGCCTTCAGACAAGGCTCCTGATCAGATGTTATCTATGAAATACAATCAGCCTAGCTCTAATGGCATCAATTGTTATGTCAATAACATATTTCAACACGAAGGCAAAATTCAATAAATTTCTGTCACAGGATTTGTAAGAATATTATTGTCATAAAGTTCTGAATAAAGTTTCGAGAATATTTTCAATAGCACCCAGCATGTGCCATGGAGAAGAGAGAGGCAAAGAATATGATTATGCAGACTTGGACCATTTACTGGAAATTCTGCATTGATAAATCAATGTTGCCCTGTGCAGTGATAAGATGTGTTAGCTGCCTGACAGGAGATGTAATACAATTCCTTCACTAACACATTGTGTGCTGTCATGATATTAATAATCAATATTTGACTTCAGACTACCGGTGCTGGAGAATACAGATGAAGTGAACCTTGACAATGGCATCAACAATGTCGGGTCGGCCATCTTGAGTCGCTTCCCTCGCTGGTTCATTTTAAGTCACGTGGAAGCGCAGCAGTGTGACCTTGCTTCTACGCTACTTGCTGCCTCAAAAAGTTAGTACTGAGTAATCATTTGCCCAACTTTCTCCAGAATAATACTCCGAGCTAGATCAATAATGTCATTAATTTGGCAGACGTCAGTTCTTATCAGTGAATAATTTGTAAAGGATTGTTGCAAATCGAGGAAATCTGGTTGATTCTCTTTGAAGCCTGTTTTGATGATGCATACATGGACAATTAATGTGTTTTGGAAGTGTTCCATATTCTTGGAAGTGATCCATATTCATATTGAAGGAGCATCTGGCTGTTTCATTTTGATGTCTTGATCCTGCCACTTCATAGATAAATGAATAAATACATATACTTTATCTTGGTGTGTAAATGATTAATGATGGGTTCATAAGATAATGGCCCAGTTTAACACATTCATAAGTACAGTTCATTTTACCAATGTCTGGATGATAGGTAACAACCATATCGACAAATGTTTGTCAGACATGAAAAGTCCAAACCCTTGTATGTTTCTCAAGCTGAGTGTTGTGTTGTAGGTGACACTGGTCGATTGCGACGAGTTCTGGAGTGTGCCCAACAGCACATACACAGCTCTTCCCAGCTGTACAAGCTAGCGCAGGACGCCTTCAAGATTGCCACCACTCCTGACGGCTCTAAACACATGCCAGCACTCAATGCTGCATTTGAACTAGGTCTACAGGTACGGGAATTGCTATCATTTGCTTCGGATTGCCTGAAATTCAGCCCAACTTGAATTTAACTTGTGACTATGAATTTGTGTTTTTAACATATCAATTAATCACTGACAGTTTTGAACAACTTCGCTCTTAGTACAGACATATTGAGACATCAGTGTTTGGAATTAAGCATGAAATTCAATAGATTCTTGCAACAACCATCTTGTTCAGATTTCAGGGTTCCCCACATTCAAGTTACACTTATGCAACAAATATAATTAATCAACCATCCTTATTTTTGAACACTGATGACACACATATTGAGTTTTCTGTGGCAAGGGGGGTAACTCTACATGATGTAAATGAACAGGATTACTTCCCTTAGATAGATTTGTTCCTTCTGTATTGATTTGCAGATATGTTACTGACATCTTTCCCTTCTTTAATTACAGGTTATGAGGATGACATTGATGACATTGAATTGGCGACGTCGTGAAATGGTGCGATGGCTGGTGACGTGTGCAACAGAGGTTGGAGTTCAGGCACTCATCTCAATCATGCAAAACTGGTTCCAGTTGTTTGCACCTATCGAGGCTACAAGTGAGTTATGCAGCCTTCTCAGTGATCTTTATCAATGTCTCCATCTTGGTTAAGGATCCTGGAGGCTGCCTCTTTCACAGAGTAAACTGAAGTTGTGGATGACATCTTGATAATGCTTAACAGCTTTCTTTAACCTTTGCATCCTTTGTTTGTGATACGTTTTGTTCCGCTGGGTATTTTTAAGAGCTATTTACTGCTGAGTAAACTCTATATTATTGATTTAGCATTTCAACTAATACTGTGAATTGTACATGGCACTGAAAATCCTGACAAGTTTGAAAGTTTTCTTGAATTGTGAAGCAAATTACCAGTGTAAACTGAAGAAGGGAAGGAAAGGCAAAATTTGTATTTATTGCCAAGCGACTCTAAACGTTCCAACCAGTGATTAAGTTTGTTGATGTGATGCACCACTAACGTTGAATATTGCTGCTGCAGGTACAGTGGCCACAACAGTGGTGTCCCGAGCAACGATGGACCAGCTGAAGTTAACGTACCCCCAACACGAGGAGCTAGCCCGATGTGCCCGCAGCCTCGCTCTCCAGTGTGCCACCAAAGATCCCCAGAACTGTGCATTGTGTGCCCTTACTCTGTGTGAGAAGGATCCTGTAGCATTCGAGACAGCGTATCAGATCGTCATCGACGCTGCAGCCCATGTGATGAATTCCAGTCAGTTGTTTACTATTGCTCGCTATATGGAGCATCGTGCCTACCCCCACCGAGCATATAGACTGGCACTTCTTGCCATGAAAAATCTCCACCTAGCTTACAATCAAGACACCCACCCAGCCATCAATGACATTCACTGGGCATGTTTGCTGAGTCACTCTCTGGGGAAGACGGAACTTGCCAACATGATCCCGTTACTAGTAGAAAATGTGCAGTGTGCTGCTGTCCTGTCAGACATTTTGCGTCGGTGCACATTAACGGCGCCAGGTATGGCAAGTGCGGACGGTAAAAGACGAGCAATTAAATTGCTGTCGTATGAAAAGCTACCCCTCAGACAACTTATGGAAGCGACAATATACGCATACATCCAAACGACTCATTCCAAACTGACCCATATTAGTCCCCGTCACTATGGAGACTTTATTGAGTTTCTCAGCAAGGCTCGGGAAACATTCATTTTAGCTCAAGACGGACATATACAGTTTGCTCAACTCATTGAGAACATGAAACTGGTGTATAAAGGCAAAAAGAAGCTTATGTATTTAATAAAGGAACGATTTGGATTATGAGGAGCAATCGTGCGACAGCATTATTCAAGGGACCACATTTAAGTTATCACTATTCATCAGTGCTATGGACTTTCCTTCATCTCAATGGTGCCACACCCATCTGTCTGTGACACTGGGAAACGCAAACATGGCTGGACAAGCAACTATCTTCACCCAGTATTTCCATGTAGGCTCACACACTTGTTGATTTCTTCCTTTGTTTATATATGTCGATATACATATTTTATTGAATACTTGTAGAATATGTTTTGTCAGCAGTTTACACACTGAGGATGTAGTTTGTCATGCCAAACTCTTTTTTTCCCCTAGTTTTCCAAGCCATAATGCGTTGTCTCACTTGATCATTGGACCAGCAATATATATATCGAGTTGAAACTCAGGAATGCAATGTATATGGTAACCAAAGGCTATCAGCACATTTCCCATGTGTGTATTTTGTATTACATATTTTTTATGGAATGATTGAGAAAACACTAAATGCATGTTTTGAGACTTTACACATAGGATTTGTAATAAATACAGCTCAAAGTGTTGGACAGAGTGCGAGGAATGTATAGAAATAATATAATAGTGTTGGATTTTGATGACCTGACACAGTGTCAAGGTCACCTGTGTGTCAGAGGTCACATGGCAAAGGTCACCAGCTTGGCTGGTCAGAGTCATCTCTGACCCTGCCTTGACCATCTGTTGAACAAATCTGCATGACATTCTCTGAATGGTTAAAAGTCAGCCTTTCAAGCAGGTATATTCATTGATTGTAAACAGATGTATCTCGACAACTCAGCTGGGGTCATATGAATATTCATAATCAGTCAGGTTATAGATTTCCCCAAATGCAATAGGCTTCATACTATATTTCTGTACAGGGTTCCTCATGTCAGATTGTGATCAGGGACCAGTTTTGGGGAAAGACTATGAATAATCAATCTTATCAAATGTCATGAATTGGGATTTTGTATAAGATCAAGCAATTTTGGATTTCCCTGAATTAATACAAGCAATTAAGACCATAATAAAAAGCATGTGGGTTTTCTGACCCGACACATTCTCAGCTGTGGATCTTGAAGACCTCTGGTGATATCTGGTTCCAGACTTCTGTAGACAAATTTTTCACTGTGTTTTATGTTCGGTAATCATGGTTGAAAGAGTTCGACTTATGTTTGTGTTTTAAAGATCCCTTTGAAGAGATTGAGTTTGTACAGGAAAGACTACAAACAATCTGTATAGTGTATTGTTCCATTTATTAACAGTTACGTCAGTATGCAAACACTGTTAGCTATGGAGGAAAACATTTGGGAATGTCACTGTTTGGGCATTTTCTTAACTATCGCAGTAATATGTGATATGTTTACAAGTTTTCACACGCTGTGAGAACAGGGTAATAAGATTTAAAGATAAGTTTGAAATTAACTTTTAATTTAGTTGATATGTACGAAAACCTGTTTTTGCAGTATTTTCTTGATTTGGGAAAATGTCTTGTTATTGTACCTTGTTACGTTATGCCTGTTTGTGTCATATTATTATTGGTTAAATTTTCCATATCTATGTGTTTTAGTTTGGAACAAAAGGATTAGTGGAGTATTGTTTGAGCATATTTCCTGTAAGGAAGAAAAGATGTTCCAATGGGATTTTTAATTTTCTTTCTGGGGTGATATATTTTTAGAATTGTCTACCTCTGCGTAACGTTATACCTGACACTCTATTATTCTTTTGAGTGTCTCAGTCATGCACTTTGCTGTGTTTTATCAGTGTATTCGCTTAAGCTGAATTGACGTACAAAGACCATGGAAACAATTGAGCTGTAGGTATTGTTCAGTGAACAAGTTGTTAAAATTCTCATTTGTTCTTTTTTTTAGATTATTTTATGGAAATCAGGATTCATAAGATATGGATCTCAGGGACAGAAACCCTTTTTTTTCAAGCCCTAAGTTTGAATTTTCAAACTGTTTCTAAGCATATATACCCTTTGCCATTGTGTAGTTATTTACTCTCAGTAATAACCCAAGTAAGTTATTAATGAGTCCTGCACCTTGAAGATTGTGGGACATAGCCATTGCCTGTACAAAGAACCATGATATCTGTTGTCTGTCTTGACCTTTGTGTAAATGTGATATCATCTGTTCCATGAAAGTTATAATATTGAAAACTGTGTGTTATCTACCTCAAATGTCGACTATCCGAACACGTAGCCAGCATAATTTTCTTACCACTGATAACCCAACACATGCCGTTTGTGTAAACCCAACTCAAATTAAAAACTTATAGAGAAACATCAGTTAAATGTTATTTTAAAGTTTAAGGCCTTTATTTCAGTTGTGCAAACAGAGGCAAAAGGAAATCAATCCTTTTGTATGTTGTTGGTTTTTTTAAAGAAATTAATCTGTTTTACTGTTAGTTTGTGTATGGAAATACCACACAACTTTTGCTAAGGACAACACCTTTGACTAAAGATGACTTATATTGTCCTCTGCTAATGTTGAGTGGTATATGTGATTAAAGTGTTTTTCATATAAGGGCCTACCTCACAAACACAAACATTCATTCTTGGGATGTCAGTGGTACAAATCAAACTAAATCTACCTTGAAATTTTCATCATCAATTATCATCATCATTATCATCATCATCATCATGAATCAGCCATATTCTCGTGATGCTGTGTATAGCCACATTTTGTAGTCTAGTCAGAAACCCTTGTACAAGAATTTTCAATTTCTAATATAGATTGAGAAATTCCTCCTCCTTCTCAAATTTCTTTACATTCTATCAAAATCTGTTTTCTTCTGAACTCTTTTTTGAAACTCCCCTGCATTCTTGACACTACAGAAAGAGCATACAGTGCCATCTATACAATGTTGGATATTTAGCAATCAAAATACTTTATATTTCATGGTATAAATTGTTAGGTAGGTTGTTTTATATTCATCCCAATGCCTGCCAAAACATTTTGATTCCATTAGCCCATAATTTTTGTTTTGTGGTTTCTTTGTCATTTATTGCAATAGAAATCATTTGAGTTCCGATTCTAAATGCATTCAGTATTGAATCGCCGTCAGCTGGCATGGACTTGATTTAATCCCATGTGCAGTTTGTCACTGCAGGAAATTCATTGATTACATTGAGCCTGAAGTATTTTCTTCCCAAATCATAATAACTTTTGTAATGCTATACAGTGAGCAATATTGCCAAGCTCTCAACAGGGAATGTAATGATATGCACCAGAGCTTAGCATATGTTATCAGATTGACCATGTGCATAAGGCCGGTAGCATATTGTCACAGATCAATGAAATGTGTATTCTTTATATTTATTTCTATAAGCAATGTATGTGTACTATTGTTTTGTATCAGTCATAATTGCAAGATAGATCCCATAACATAAGAAAGTAATGTCATTCTTCCATTTTCTAAATAAGGAACACTAATTAGTTGTATATTATCATTTTGACAGTTTCTCCAAATTAAAAACTGTTCCTAGAACTTCTGAAACAAAAGGGAAGAGTTATGTCCCCTACATTTGGTAGCATCCTCAACAGAAACATCAAGTATTGTAATAAGTGCCATTAAATTATTTTGTATTATGTTATCGACTGTTCTGTCTTAGAATGAATTTATTATGAAACGATTTTGGATTATTTATTCTTGAAATGATAATTAGTGATAATGACCTCTGTTCATTCATAGCTGTATCTGTGTTGCTACTTGTTATGTGTTAGACATGACTGTAAGCACAAAGATGAGGACTACGATAAGTGCTACATCTTGGTTTGTACAGTGCTATGGTTGCTTCTCAGGTCAACATAACACACAAACTGTCCGTGTATCATCTCTTGACATGGAGATTGTTTTATCAGAAAAATATACTATCTTTACTATATGTACAGGTTTACAAATAAGAAAATGATTTTTTTCAAAGTAAATTGGAAAATTCTATTTTTCATTTTGGGGAGAATTAGGTTTTTAAAGTATTTTTTAAAAAAAGCAAGTTTTGTTCTCCGATTTGAATCCATATTTATTCTTAATTTGTTCAAGCACGATCACATTAATTCAGTTATAGCTGGGTCTTTTTTTTTAAGAATTGTATAATTGGTGTCAAAATAGCCTGCAATCAAAACTTAACCCCAAGTTTATGCTAAAACAAAGCTGCTTAATACCAATGAAAACAGCATACCAATGTGTTGTATGATGGGCCCCTGTGAACGGAAGATGTATTGTTGAGAGATGTTTATAAAACAGATTGTATGTTACCCAAGGACCACCCTGATTCGTGGAGAAGTCGGGTGGATGCTATCACTGTTGTTATATGTGAGAGAAGCCTGGGTTTGTTTATCAAGAAAGGTGCATGTATTGTGTTGATTCTTTTCTGTATTTTGTGACTATGAGTTGTATACGAGTCGAATGTTAGTCATCATTGGTCGCTACCATCACTCATTAAAAATAATGAAAACAAAAAAGATGTCTATTTATTGAACCCAAAACATGGGTTTTGATAAGTTGTACCTTCATATTATCTTTCATGGTATAATAAAAAGAGTGAGAAATGCAATTTTCTGTTTTTGTTTCTATTCAGCCATAGGTTCAGACCAGACATTATTTCCTCTAGGCAAGGGAAATAACTACAGTCTGTTAAAGCCCAGTTTCTACCCAGCACTACACTAGAGTTATGGAGTTATATAGGGCCTGGAAGTCTCACGAGGTGCTATTTCCGGAGACATGCATGTATTCAAGAACCAGTTCTGGTTCCAAATTGCACAACCAGGGGTCAACATATGACTTCACTGGAGTGGACCAAGTGTACTACCACACTTGGCTGCACAGCTGTTGACAGATGTACATTTACCGGTACTTTTCATGCAACATAGTCCAAGTGTTTTTGTAGCTTTTCCAAGTCACGCAGCATGTTTTGAGTATGATTAGCCAAGACATGCCCCTTGTAACAGTACTGTTATCATTGGTGTAAAACATTGTTTGTGACCGGAAGTACTAAAGTCTCACAAAGAGCTGTGACCTACTCACAGGCCCTATTTGGGCTGGACAGTGTGACTATGCATAGTCCAATCCAAAATGCGTAAAGAAATAGACAATCAGTTCAAAAATATCTTCAAACCGAACAGCTGTAAATTGCTGATGCGGCTTAAAGCAACATTTACTCCCTCACTCATAAATATGCCAAATATCATGCAGATTTCAGTTGTTAGCATGATAACATACAACATGTGAACCATCAGCTTGGCGTTCACACATATCCAAACCTTTTATGGTTTTAATCCAGGTGCTCAGTTGATCTGACCCATGCTGCAACATAAGGCCTGTTTTACTGTAACAGAGGTCTTGATCATAAAAGATGTAACTTGTAAAAGCCACTTATGGCACTAAAAGCTAGTTCCAAGAGCCAGCCTAGTTCATCAAGGATGAAAACTTGACATTTACAATCAGCTCGATATGATGCCTTGCCTTAGGAACATGACCAGTCATTGACTTTCACAGCTTCGTTTAAATGGGGAATGGTGTTGACAGGGATTTGATCAGGGTTATATTGGGATTCAAACTCTCAACTAGAGGAACATTCAACCCTCACTTCAGATCACTTAGGTCATTAGGGTGGTGGGGTAGCCTAGTGGTTAAAGCGTTCACTCGTCACGCCGAAGACCCGGGTTCGATTCCCCACATGGGCACAGTGTGAAGCTCATTTCTGGTGTCCCTCGCCGTGATATTGCTGGAATATTGCTAAAAGGCAGCGTAAAACCATACTCACTCACTCACTTAGGTCATTGAGTGTTTACTGCCTGAGTTTACATTGCAATATAAGGCGACTGTGCAATGATATGACAGGGCTGTGAGTCACAACAGGGACTGAATCAATCAACACCTGGTCAATGTACCTTGGTTGTTCGATCATTTGTGATGCCAATACTTAATGCACAGAGTAGGGCACCTGGTCACCAGCACACAAAGTTGCTAATCTAATCCACCATGGCTTCCACAAAAATGAAAGTCAGACAGCTGGCAGTAAGATCATATCCTTTGTTTACCCCTCAGACAGTGGCAATTTGCACGGCATGCATGGCAAAATGAGACTCAACCCCAAGAAAGTAACCAGAGTCTGTACTTGACCGAGAAAGTGTAAGTACCAGAATGACCGTGCTCTTGGTCAAGGCAAAAGCTTACTGGCAGCACACAGCAATGTGGAAAATCCATATCAACTTGTGGGATTGGTCACATGACACAACAAAAAAGCAGTTTGGCAGATTATTGGTCAGAATGATAACATATACTCCGGTACAAAACAAGTGCATCACTGCTTTGAAAATGTGTCAACATCACCAGTATGACTACTTCAACCAACCGCGGTACATTGTTTACTTCCTTGTTCTGATCACAATCTGTGATTGGTTGTTCAGAGTACCATATTCAGATAATATGGCACTATATGCACAGCATTCAGAGAACAACCAGCTAGTTACCAGGAATTATGAATCATTTGTGCCAAGCCATTGAACGATGTTAATAAATGCTTGCGACTTCTAGCATTCATTCATGTGGGACAGGTAATACACAATTGGGTTATCTATATATTTCTCATACTCTCTCCAGATTTTTTTTTTGAAAAACCCATATATTTTCAATCCTACAGTATATCATGAAGGAAACCTGTTCAGACAATATTATGTATTCTCTGAGTGATGTCATCACGTTTTCAAGATGATTGTGCGATCACATAGCTTCAATTGACCAATCAGATGTGAGAATCTCTTAAAAGCACATTATCAAATATCAGAAAATTGTTACACATGATTATTACAACCAGGCTTTGGCGGTAGCCAAGCGCCATTACAAGACTATGGAACGACGCAGGGGTCAGCATGTGACCTACTAGACTTAGGCTCTCGTTTAGGGCTTTAGCACTACAGGGAAGGCTAGGCTGTAGGGAAAATAATGTGGTTCAGGGACTGTGAGACAGACTAGTGACCTACCAAAACCTGGTCTCAACTCCAGACAGGTTCTGTGGGTTCATTACTTAGTCTCTACAGACACAGTAATACATGTACCGGGACTGTACCGGAATTGCACTGGATTTAAACACAGACAGTGAGGAAGCGTCTACATGCCGCAGGCATTCATCGGAGTCAATCACTTCGAAGTGTCATTCTGACTGATCAGCATGATCAGCTGCAACATTGCTGGTGTCAAGGACACAGACCACCGCCGCAACAGTGATGGAGAAGTGTTTGGTTTAGTGACGAGTCACACTTTTTTGCATCTCTGTACAGACGGAACATTATACTAGAAACTGAAGAGAGGGAGTGGACAGGTTTGGCAGTACTCTCAGTAATGATGTGGGCCACCATCCCCCATACAGGTAGAACAGACCTGGGCCTCCTTTCACAAAGCACTAAGGTGATCGTAAGTCACTAAGGTAACCTTAGTACAATGTTAAAGAATGGGAGTTAAGGTTAACCTTAGTAAAGGTTGCTTCGTGAAAGGAGCCCCTGGTACACAACCATGACAATTCAACAGCACAATGTCACACATCCTTCCCACAATGCAACAAACAAATGTTATTTTGTCAACACAGCAACCCCTGACCTCACACAGCAAGACTGACGCCTTTTTGGAACCACAAAATCCAAGTACTGCAATGGACCTCAAGGTCTCGAGAACTGAATCCCATTAAACATTTATGCAATGTTCTTGTTCAACATCTGCTATCATGTCAGCATCAGCTACAAAACATCCAACAGTTGCCACTTTATTTTGAACTGCCACTACAATACCTTTGAAGTGATTTGTATCACTTTGTAAATTTTGTTAATTTTAAAATACACATTTCTACAGGTTTCATTCAGCAACTCTTCATCATTGTTTGGATGGAAGTGTAATGGTTTGGGTGAGTGAGTGAGTGAGTTTGGTTTTACACCGCTTTTAGCAATATTCCAGCAATATCACGGAGGGGGACACCAGAAATAGGCTTCACTCATTGTACCCATGTGGGGATTCGAACCCGGGTCTTCGGCGTGACGAGCCAACGCTTTAACCACTAGACTACCCCACCGCCCCGTAATGGTTTGGGGTGGGATGACATGTCATCATTGTTTATGGCAACTTGAATGTCATAAGGTACCCTGACTACATCATTCAAGATCATTTTCACCCTTGATGCATTGTAGGAACATACCATCAGCTGGAAAACACTAGGGGCAGACGCAGCTTTTTGAGAAAGGGGGGTGCAGACTTCATTTTCACCCGTTTTCACGAGTTTCAATGGCCATTTAATAAACTTTCAGCACAAAAGGGGGGCACCCCTCCTCTGGATCCGCCTATAAACACCCACCCACATGTTCCATGTGTGCTTTCTTGAGGAAGAATAACATTCTTCTACTGCCATGGCGGTCTAAGTCTCCATCCACAGGCTGTTTCAGTCATCTAGTGTCTTCAATGCACATATCAACCCAAATGGTAGTCACTCAGTAATCACATTAACCATGTTGTTACACCATCCATCTTTTGTCGGGCGGTGGGGTAGCCTAGTGGTTAAAGTGTTGGCTCGTCACGCCGAAGACCCGGGTTCGAATCCCCACATGGGTACCATGTGTGAAGCCCATTTCTGGTGTCCCCCCCGGCGTGATGTAGCTGGAATATTGCTAAAAGCGGCGTAAAACCAAACTCAGTCAGTCAGTCAGTCCATCTTTTGTCAATGAATTTGTTATAAGAAGTACGGTATTAATTACAAGTAGGATCAAATATTATGGTGTCATTTTTAAGAACATTTTTAACCAGAACCCCAGTTTCCTTTTTTCCATATTTATATTGAAGAAAGTGATGATGGATCACAAAAGGTCATATTTACATTTCTGAATTACTTATTACTCACAGTGAGAAAAGCCACATAGACATTCATTAATGTCAAGACAGAAATCATGGGTGTGAAAAGATCCTTGGTAAAAAGTCTGGACATGCAGACTTTGTCCACGGACAAGTTCACAATTCTGTCGCAGAAATGGTGAAGTGTAAAAGTCCCTTTCAGTTTTATGATAAGTTGGGTAGAATAGAGGCATGTTTCCTAGCCGAGGGTGAGAGGGTATGGTTGTACACCGCTTTTAGAAATATATTCCAGCAATAACAGGACGGGGGACACCAGAAATGGGCTTCACACATTGTACCTATGTGGGGAACCGAACCCAGGTCTTCAGCATGGCGAGCAAATGCTTGAACCACTTGGCTACCCCACAGCCCCTTCCTAGCCGAGAAGCTTGACTGCTGGAGCCCATCATGACTCTGAGTTGTACGTTTCCTTGAGTAGAAATGAAGGATTGGGTGTATAGCAGATAGAAATATCAAAGACATTACTGACATTCTTTATTACATGAGATCCACCTTACACGTTACATTCAACATTACATTCACAATCTTCATCACTCAAACACACAATGAAAACAGTAAAACTTCTGTTACCAAGGTTACAGCCTTCCTATTAAACAATTCAAAAAATATAAAACGTGCTTCAAAGATAAAGAATGACAACCTGCGATCGTCACACAATAAACAGAAATCGACTCTTGTCAAAGCCTTTCTATTCAGTTGTTGATGAAAATATACACGACAATGTTAAATAGAAGAAGGATATTCAAGTATTTTTATTTATCTAACTTGAAATATAAAGGAAACTAACTTTTCAATCTACTTGTTACGTATTGGTTTCCGCAACTGAAAAAAAAACCCACATGCAATGCAGTTGTCATTCATCATTCATACAATAAAATTGTTTATGTCACATTACAGCATCCCAAGTTCGGATATCAGGAAGGTGGAAGACAACATCCAGCACGACCTTGACCTTCAGAGTAATGTGTCCCAATGAAACCCTGAACACCTGATGTTAATATGGGGTTTCCCTCGTCCTGATTTTAGAAGTCACAATTTTCCCATATCCTCCCCGATCCTCGTCGTAGTCTGTTCTGTATTCATCCCTCACCTAAAAGAAACAATGAAACATATTTCATGGGAGTGAGTGAGTTTAGCTTTACTCCGCTTTTAGCAATATTCCAGCAATATCACAGCAGGGGACACCAGAAATTGGCTTCACACATTGTAACCATGTGTGGAATCGAACCCGGGTCTTCGTCGTGACAAGCGAATGCTTTAATCACTTGGCTACCCCACTGACCCCAATATTTCAAGAACCATGGAGATGTTATAATGGATATTCACTACTGAACGTTACTTCTGAATAGGCCGGTGTGAAAGCCTTGTGGTTAAAGCATTCACTCATCACACAGAAGTCCTGGGTTCATTTCCCCACATGAGTGCAACATGTGAAAACCATTTCTGATGTTCCCTGTGTTCATTTTGCTGGAATATTGCTTAAAGCAGTGGAAAACCTTACTCAGTTACTACCTCACAACTTTATAACCTCCAATCAGCCTCAGGAGTTTTTCTTTTATCCTAATTTGCAAGCAAGGTAAGACATCATCCTGCGTACAAGTTTTCACTCTTTCACATCGCACTCATGCAACATCCCTCCTGCTGGTCTACTATGATTATACTGAGACTTTTTTCCAGTCTTTTTCGAAGACAAAACCTCAAAAAAAACTTGAACATGCAATATAACTATTTAACTCAGATTTTGCAAAATTCATTCAGCTGTCTGTGTTTCAAAGTTTAAATCCTGGGCCCTATTCCACAAAGCATTTTAAACGCTACAATCACTTAAAATCTATGCTAAAATATACGTCTTAGCAAGGCTTTGTGGAACAGAGCAAAGAAATACAAGAGACATTTTCAACATGTAAATGGTATCACACTAATAAATCCATAAAAATTACTTTCACATGTAAAACATTCAAGAAAATCCACCCACCTGTCCCCCACTCTTGCCCCGCCCATATTGCCTCCCCTCCTTGAAGCCAGCATCCCAGTCAGTTCGAATAATCCGATCATCTAGACGAGTTCCATTGATATACCTCAGAGCATTCTCTGCATCATTTCTCTCATAATATCTGTGTTTCAATCAGGAAAGTTCAACAAATGACCAAGACTTGAAATGAAAGACATGGGAGAAAATTAACATTTTATAAGTATTGACTGCCTGAAATTGTTACAAAACAAAGAATTCATAGTGTAAGAAACAGTCCTTATCAAATATGAATACAGGACATTAAACTCACTCTGTCAGCCTCTCAATAATCTAAATATGCAACCCTAATTCACACTCCTTTCATGTTGGTCCCTCTTTTGGTCCTTTCAAGCCCACACTTAATTGCCTGACGAGTTCCCATGTACATGTATGTATCATATCTGAAAGTGCATGTAAAATCTCCAAACCAACTTCTATACATGACAAAGCTGTTGCTGTCGGTTCTGGAGACTTTGAAATCAAGATCTAGCCAACGTCAACCTGAGACCTCATGACAGATTTGGTAGCAGATCTGTTATGGTGTTCCGATCAGTTATTGTGCTCAGATCAGTTATTGTGCTCAGATCAGTTATTGTGCTCAGATCAGTTATTGTGTTCAGCACTCCATGCTACTGCTTGTAAAGAGTTACCAATATTTCCAATTTTAAGTTATATGAGAGTCCTTTTTATACTTTTATACTATGTACTTTGTGTACCCCTCTGATAAGTGTAAATTGGCACGGCTCACACCAAAAGCTATGAATACACAATGCCATGCTGGCAATTAGGTCCCTGACTCTGAGGGTGTGGGTTTGAATCCCAGATGGGACTCAATCCAACAAAAGTACTAGAATTTGTACTTTACTAAGAAAGTGTAATCCCAAATACAACATATGTGATAGTGGTATGAAGTGGCTTGGTATCAAACCACAGATATTCCACTCTCCAGTCACATGTTCAGATACATAGACCTAAGTTAATTCATAATTAAAGGGCCACTGATCCAGAGCGATTATTGTTTCCAGCCAACAGTCTAATTACGAAACCTAGCTGCAAACTGGTCAACCTCTGCTCCCTCGACCGTGACGGGGACTGGGCTACTGTCCACCCTGGCAGAATTTTTTCAACCTAATCAGTTGCACATTAGGAAGGGTGGATGCCCATTAGATGCCATGTTTGAAAATATCCCCGGTAGTTCTTGTATGATTGTAATAAAGTATCCCAGCAGTGTAGGCTTTTTCAGATTTTCAAATGTTTTGATGGTATAGTGACTGATCCAATTTGACCTTATTTCTGTGTTTTTCACCTCAATATTTAATCATGTAAAAATATGATGTCTATTACGTATCCTATGATATCAAAAAACGCACATTTGATATATTTGAATCCATAAACTAAACAACCCCACTTAGCCATTGTAAAATAAATCTGAAATTTTACTTAGGTATATATGTATATAGCAAATGCTTATATATATTTCTTTTGTAACAATGAAGTTCCGTTCGTATCCTCAAAACAGTGTCTGCCCATAAGTTGTTGTTTTTTCAGGCAATCAAACTTGCATGCAATACAGCGATTACTTCTCTCTTGCTGTAACCCTTGTTTGGTGGTAAACCTACGAATCCAGGACAAAATCCACCCGGACAAAATCCACCCCAAAATTGCAACCTAGGACAAAATCCACCCCGGACTAAGGATTGTATCTTACGCCACGTACTTTGGGTGAGATGATAGAAACACCCATGAACATTTACATGAGAACCTAACACAACAGATACAGCATTGATGGCAGCCAACTCAAAGTCTGGTACAATAACAGAAGGATCTGGTTCGAAACCGAGTTCGTTACATTTATCTACAACTGCTTGAAGTACTTCTTGGTAGCTAGTTTGAGTCTTAACGCACAGGAGGGCATACACACAACTAACAGCACTATCCCCAAGGGGAGCACGGATCACATACAGTTGAGTGAAGAGGTTGGGAGCAGCATCGAAGGTACCGTTCATAAACCAGGTGTCTGCTGATGCCAGGTGTTGCAGGGTGGTGTCAGAGGCAATTTGAGAAGGGTGGATTTTGTCCATTTTTTTTTAAGAAGAGGTGGATTTTGTCCGGGGTGGCAATTTTTGGGTGGATTTTGTCCGGTCACCTAAACCTACACATGTTATTTGTCATCATTCACTTGATGGTCAGTTAATGTATTTATAACAGGTATAATTAGTGATAACACCACTCAGATTACCCGACAAAGGTTCCCATTTGGCATTTCTTGTGTCTGGAGTAAATACTTATCATTATAAACTGAGGTCTGATGTGGCAAATGTATTACATCTTATGTAATATGCGCATGGAAGTGCTGTAAGGGGAATTATCAGCTGAGTTACAAAACAAACATCAATCAAAGGATTTACCCATAACACGCTGATTGATTAATTGCTTTTATCCTGCACAGCGGATTTGTCAAAAGGTAGTGTTTGTGTATGTAGATTTACTAATCTATACTGAATACACCCTGTCGTAAAGTCTCTTTGTAAAAACAACGTCCTTCCTTCAAAGTATTAACCACCAATACATTGATTGATTAAATTACTTTTTTAAAGAATGGCGGACATCATGCAATTAGTTGCCAGGTGTGTTATCTTGGGTGACCAATGGGACCATACACCAATGTGAAAAACCTGAAACGATAGATCACTTTTTCGCATATTAGTCTGTTACAAGACACATGAAATGGAGCAGGATTCTTTGTCAGCTGCAGATGAATGACATCTCATTGCTTTATGTGGATATTGATGGATACATTCCCCAAACAAGGTAATAGCCTAATATTGTTGCTATAACTTTAGTCTGTTTTAATTTTAATATTTGCATTTTGTTTATATTTATTTGTTATGACATTCAACAGAATCATTTTTTGCTGTGAAGTGTAATGAGACATACAACATACACTAGGTCGCACTCAGGGCATGTGTGTGAAATATGATACACGTTGGCAATCTATAAAATGTCTAGATATTACAATCATGTTATAAATTCACTAAGTATAAGCAGATTGTTTGCATTTTATTAAGTTTCAAAATGCATACAATTACAAATATGATAATAAACTATTTAGGATTATAAGACAAAATATAAAGACGTACATTGACTTCGTTGTTTCAGTCCTAACATTTTTTTACCACCGGCAGGTGGTTAAACTTAAAATGTTTTCATTTGTTATCAAAATAATGCCATTTAATACAACATTCAGATTGACAAGTTGTGAACCCAAGCTCACTACTCTCCCCAAAACTCCTCATGTATTTAGTTAGCCTTACTTTCAAAACAATGCTATTGTATCAGGCTTCTCACCAAATTCAAGGTCAAACTATTTCTTAAATCAAATTCTACATCCATTTATGATAAAAAAATTATAAAGTCAACATTACTATGAAATCAAAATCAGCATTTTTATCAAAGTGAATATTTTTTATAAGAACCCAAATTATTCATCAAAGACTACATAATTTTACAACAAAATCAACATAAGATTATCAGTAAAAAAGATTTCATTTTTGTTGATCAGTCTATACTTATACTATCAATTGCGCATGAGGAAACCGCAGCAGAGGTACCGAACCAGTCATGAATTCTGGGATATCATCCAGGTACTCACTGGAGAAAAATAATAACAAAAGCAACAACCAGTCCGCGGAAATTGCTCTGGATCAGTGGCCCTTTAAATCATATCCAACATGTTTATCATACTGTTTGGGTTCAAGGATACTCCACAAAACAAAATCCGCATGGGGTCTTCTTAACTTTATCAAGTCCCATGATAATTCTCTTCACATCGCCTGACCGATTGAATAGCTCATAGATCTGTTCCTCTGTGGTGAAGAATGACAAATTTCCAACATAGAGAGTTGTTGAATACATTAGTGCTTTTTCCTGTTCATTTCGACTTCCCTGAAAAACAAAAACCAATGAAACATCCATCACTGCCGTCATACCAATCAGATTACGAAAAGACCCCCTTCGATTTTTTTCAAAGTATTCTGAGCTCTTTTACGTATTATTTCTCCCCAGATCCCCATCCCATGTACGGATAGAAAATAACGGTAGGAAATAATTTCGAAAACGTAGCAGATACGCACCACAGTAATGGTGTACGGTGTAGAATCATTTTAAGACGTATTTAATGAAAAATTATTGTTTTATTGTTTATTGACCTGTTTCACACAATGCAATGTTGTGGTGCATAAATCGAAACACAAGATTACTGATACTCCATTAAATTCCATTCAGTACTCTTAAGGTTTTCCAGTACTCCTGTATTGAGAAAATAAGGAGTACGTACTCCTGATGTTGCAATATTATCTGGAGCCCTGATTTTCGAGATTACATAGAATCTATACACGAGAAAATGCAGGGAATTCTTGGCACCGGTGAGTCAATTTCAGAATGTTTTCATGACCACAGTTAGCCAGACAAGTGGTACGATTACCAGTCCGAGTCCGACTACGAATACTGTCCTTTGAACGAGGAAGTCTGTCTCTGGTATTTCAACATGTTCAACTTCCATAGATATATTAAACAAAACGCGAGTCGCCATAGACATATTGCAAATTTCCGAAATTCTGCCAAAACGATTGGTAAGTCAATAACCACAATAAGACTACGAAATACCTTGTAATGCTGGTCCCGGTAAGCACTTAGTGCTACCGATACAGTTCTCTTTTTCAAATTTTGAGACATTGTAAAGTTGTGGACAAATTACGATGGTTTACTTTCTTTTGTCGATGAGTGATTTCGTTATTTGATTTCCCCACTCCGCTCATCCGCCATGAACGTCGCTGTGGAGAGTATGGCATGCGCAAGCTCCTAACAGAGATTGTTCGGTCATCGTCACAGCGCATGCTACCGACTGTAGGCAACATCATGGGTTCATCTCCCTTTCAGTTTAAATCACACTCAGCTTTAACATTGAACATCCAGTACAGCGAATTAATATCAAATTCAACCACATGCTTGTGTTCTCCATGTATTCTCACAAGTGAAACCTTTAAATCGGATCGAGTCTTGTGTGAGAGTGAGTACGGTTTTACGCCGCTTTTAGCAATAAGGATATTTCTCATTTGGTAATAGAAAACTCAATGTAATTCATACCCAGCTAAGATATTCAAATAGGAGATTAAATGGTGATCTATATAGGATTAGTATTATAGAGAACCCTGAATGTAATTGTAAATGTACCTGTGAAAATTTTCATCATTATTTTATGGAATGTTCTTTGTGTAATATCAGACAGGAAATGTTTCAAAATATTAGCAGAATTTGTAACATTAGAGCACCAACAAACCTAGACGTACTATTAAATGGCAGTGCAGATCTTCCGTATAGTGACGAATTTTTAAAGAAGTTCAAAAATATATATCAAACTCCGAAAGGTTCAGTAATTGGATATAATGTTTATGATCTAAATAGTTCATGTATTCATTGTATTATATATTCTTTTGTATATATCTTTCTATCCCTGTACATATAGTTTGTTTCACTTTAGCATGTAAGCACTGTAAATAGGAGAGGGTTTCACTAAGTTGGCATAACTTGTACCCAATCCATTCTCTTGAATAAATATGTTTAAATCAAAACACCCAGTACAGCGAATTAATATCAAATTCAACCACAGGCTTGTGTTCTCCATGTATTCTAAAACGTACACACACAAGTGAAACTTTTAAATCGGATCGAGTCTTGTGTGAGTGAGTGAATACAGTTTTACGCCGCTTTTAGCAATAATCCAGCAATATCATGGCGGTGGACACGAGAAATGAGTATCACACACTGTACCCATGTGGGGAATCGAACCCGGGTCTTCGGCGTGACGAGCGAGCGCTTTAACCACTAGGCTACCCCAACGCCCGGGTCGATTCTTGAGGTGAATAAGTGTGTCTAAGTTGATGGATGGGGAACACACATTTCACACCTAGCTGGTGCTTCGTTCCAGCCACAAGGACACCCCATCCTACCTTGCCGTAGAGAGTTAACTTAGTGAAGGGTTTCAGTGTTACTACCGGGAATCCTCGTATTTAAGCCCTGCCGTTATTCTGCCCATTGGCTTAACAACGAGTTTTGATTTTCGAATTTAAGCTCATGGGCTTAAGTTTGAAATTACTTTTAGAATGATCTCCTTTCCAAATGTTCAAAACACGTGTTTTTGATGGAATCACTTCGTCTACAGTATGCCGTTAGTGCCGTAAGAGGGTTTCACATATATAAAACGCACTGGTCTCCAAATACAGGTGACATTTGAGACACCCAATGTGACAATTTAAATCCGTTTGATCGGTACACAGTGGCTGTTGAGAGTAGGAACGTTATTGTCGGACATATTCCAATTAAACAAAGCAAAGAGTGCTCAGTGACGACCCTTTCAAGGATTCCAGTTCAGAAGATTGCGATGATGATGACTGACAGATTAGGACCAGATGGTGACAGCTTAGTGACGAGTCGTTTAATGTGTGTCATTTCCATGGACATATAATTCCACCGAACAGTTTGAATTTTAAAAGCGTTCTCTCAAATTATAATAGTTAAATTGAAAAGATGATTGAATTTGTTCATGGAATAAGATTCGTTCCATTAAAAGTTAAAAAGAACAAAGTTTTGTTGTGTGTTACCCCAGGGCTTAATTTCAGGAAAAATGTTTCTTAGATGAAATGGGTCAAATTCGAAAATATGCCCAGGGCTTAAATACGAGGATTCCCGGTAATACCCAGATAGCAAAGGTTTGTTGGGCCAATATTGGTATATGGGTAGTTGGTTGGCAGGCGGTTTGACAAGATTGGCCCAACGTTATCTGAATGACTTAAAAGTAACCGTGGCTTTGAACACATTGGTCCAACAGTGGGCTAATATTTGAAAAACTCTGCCTATTTTCCTTGATCTTACATCTATTTCACAAAGTTGGCTCCACGTTGGCCCAACATTGTGATTAAAAGAGTGAGCACACAGCCATTTATAGCCATGTGTTCGTACTAAGATTTTGATGAAAGTTGAAATAATTACACAGGAAAAATGACAGAATCTATTTCCCTGTCTTTCAACTATGATGCAGTGAATTTTACAGCGTTTTTTTCTCCAAATTGAATACCAAACTTGTCATCATTGGTAGCTTCAGCTGATATTCAGAGAGCAGACGACACTACATTTCCGGAGGCATTGTTAGTTCTGTGATACTGAATATTGTGAATATATTGTGAAATAATTGGTTTAAATCATCATTTAGTTAAAGAAACTGACACAAACTGCATTGGAAGGAAATTGATTGAGCAGATGAAAGATTTAATTGACTTTTTTCTTTGGGTAGCCTGTTTTAACTGCTTTGATAAATCTTTTTTCATTTTAAATTATTTGAATTGATTGTGTTTAGTACTGTTTACTTTATTAATATTATGTGTCTGTCAGTTACACTCCAGATACAACTCTCTCTTTTATTCATCTTCACAACCAATATTGATAAACATCATCATACCAGATATATGTGTCAAACATTGTTTGATCGGCATATCGGGAAATACAATATACTGTTCAAATAACAAGTATATAAAAAAGAATTAAATAGTTCACTTGATTAACTTGTTCTGTTGTTTATATATGTTCTTGATTGCAGAGGTCAGGAAAGAGCCAAGTATGGGCCATGGTTTAGTACAAAGGTCAAGAAAGAGCTAAATGTTGAAACACGGTGGTGCCAACATAAGGCCAACAAAATCACTACGTTGGGCCAAGTATGGGCTATGGTTTAGTGTGGATTTCCATTCGTTGGCCCAACACTGGGCCAACATGATGGGCCACTGTGAAGCCGAGGAGCATATCCAAGTGGGCCCATCGTCAGTTTGACAACCATAGGCCAACAAAGCCGGGAATTATGGGCCAACTATGGGCCCACATATCAATGCTATCTGGGTATCAGTTATATATGGCGACCGCAAGTGTATTATGTAGTGAGCTAGCTGAGTTGATCAACCCTTTGGCGAGAAAGACCAATGACCGTGATGGCGGAGTTCTAATGCGTCTTTAGACGAAATCCCTTGACCCGAAGAATTGCGCCGGCAATTTTGGATTCTCTTGGACTCTGTGTTCGTGCTGGTGATCCTCTTGTTCAAAATCTGCATCATTTAACACAGGCACTCCCCGAGGAATGGCAGTGGATTCCGATGCTGAGAATTCGACTCTTCATTACCAGGATGAGAAGGAGGTTGGCAGATGTTATCCGTGAAAGGGTTGCTACACCAGGTATTGATGTGGTTGCCAGTGGTTCACACAATCACAGTAATTTGAGAACTCATTATTTGAGAACTGAGTGACAATCAGATTGGTGGCGTAGTCATGGTGACCATACTTTCCGGCATTGCTTATATTCATGTTGTTGGGGTATTTCTTTCTTATTCCTCTCAGATTGCAAGTGAATTGTTACCAAATACAATTTCAATTTGGTTTCATTTTAATCAGAGTAAAATATGTTACGGTTACCATTTTAATATTGGTTTGGTTTGCCAAAAAAAAAGAAATTGACTCCAGAGAGGACAGTCCAGTGATTGACACCTCGAACATCGATCTACGCAATTTACGATGCATATCTGGACCAAGTCAGCAAGCCTGACAACCCGGTCCCAAAGAACAAGCGTTGGTTGGTGAAGAGCAATTCAAACCCTTATCTTTACCGGGTTCATGGCGCCCAACAGTTCTCTATAAACTCTGTTTCTTCATTGAAGACATAACACTTTCCACAGGCAATGTTTGTCTCTTGTAACAACGTTTCAGGTTAAGTAGCCCCAAAACGTCATTACACATTCACTGTGTGAAAGTGCAAGTGAGTGAGTTGAGTTTTACGCCGCGCTCAGCAATATTCCAGCTATATGGCGGCGGTCTGTAAATAATCTAGTCTGGACCAGACAATCCAGTGATCAACAGCATGAGCATCGATCTGCGCAATTGGGAACTGATGACATGTGTCAACCAAGTCAGCGAGCCTGACCACCCGATCCCGTTAGTCGCCTCTTAGGACAAGCATAGTCGCCTTTTGTGGCAAGCATGGGTTGCTGAAGACCTATTCTACTCCGGATCTTCACGGGTCTGAAAGAGTAGCAGCCCCTAAACATCAATACAGATCCACCTGGTGAAAGTGCAAGTAGCATCCCTGAAAATTTAATACAGATCCACCTGGTGAAAGTGCAAGTAGCATCCCTGAAACTTTAATACAGATCCACCTGGTGAAAGTGCAAGTAGCATCCCTGAAACTTTAATACAGATCCACCTGGTGAAAGTGCAAGTAGCATCCCTGAAACTTTAATACAGATCCACCTGGTGAAAGTGCAAGTAGCATCCCTGAAACTTTTAATACAGATCCACCTGTGAAAGTGCAAGTAGCATCCCTGAAACTTTAATACAGATCCACCTGGTGAAAGTGCAAGTAGCATCCCTGAAACTTTAATACAGATCCACCTGGTGAAAGTGCAAGTAGCATCCCTGAAACTTTTAATACAGATCCACCTGGTGAAAGTGCAAGTAGCATCCCTGAAACTTTAATACAGATCCACCTGGTGAAAGTGCAAGTAGCATCCCTGAAACTTTAATACAGATCCACCTGGTGAAAGTGCAAGTAGCATCCCTGAAACTTTTAATACAGATCCACCTGGTGAAAGTGCAAGTAGCATCCCTGAAACTTTAATACAGATCCACCTGGTGAAAGTGCAAGTAGCATCCCTGAAACTTTTAATACAGATCCACCTGGTGAAAGTGCAAGTAGCATCCCTGAAACTTTAATACAGATCCACATGGTGAAAGTGCAAGTAGCATCCCTGAAACTTTAATACAGATCCACCTGGTGAAAGTGCAAGTAGCATCCCTGAAACTTTTAATACAGATCCACCTGGTGAAAGTGCAAGTAGCATCCCTGAAACTTTAATACAGATCCACCTGGTGAAAGTGCAAGTAGCATCCCTGAAACTTTAATACAGATCCACCTGGTGAAAGTGCAAGTAGCATCCCTGAAACTTTAATACAGATCCACCTGGTGAAAGTGCAAGTAGCATCCCTGAAAATTTAATACAGATCCACCTGGTGAAAGTGCAAGTAGCATCCCTGAAACTTTAATACAGATCCACCTGGTGAAAGTGCAAGTAGCATCCCTGAAACTTTTAATACAGATCCACCTGGTGAAAGTGCAAGTAGCATCCCTGAAAATTTAATACAGATCCACCTGGTGAAAGTGCAAGTAGCATCCCTGAAACTTTAATACAGATCCACCTGGTGAAAGTGCAAGTAGCATCCCTGAAACTTTAATACAGATCCACCTGGTGAAAGTGCAAGTAGCATCCCTGAAACTTTAATACAGATCCACCTGGTGAAAGTGCAAGTAGCATCCCTGAAACTTTAATACAGATCCACCTGGTGAAAGTGCAAGTAGCATCCCTGAAACTTTTATACAGATCCACCTGTGAAAGTGCAGCATCCTGAAACTTTAATACAGATCCACTGGTGAAAGTGCAAGTAGCATCCCTGAAAATTTAATACAGATCCACCTGGTGAAAGTGCAAGTAGCATCCCTGAAACTTTAATACAGATCCACCTGGTGAAAGTGCAAGTAGCATCCCTGAAACTTTAATACAGATCCACCTGGTGAAAGTGCAAGTAGCATCCCTGAAACTTTAATACAGATCCACCTGTGAAAGTGCAAGTAGCATCCCTGAAACTTTAATACAGATCCACATGGTGAAAGTGCAAGTAGCATCCCTGAAAATTTAATACAGATCCACCTGGTGAAAGTGCAAGTAGCATCCCTGAAACTTTAATACAGATCCACCTGGTGAAAGTGCAAGTAGCATCCCTGAAACTTTAATACAGATCCACCTGTGAAAGTGCAAGTAGCATCCCTGAAAATTTAATACAGATCCACCTGGTGAAAGTGCAAGTAGCATCCCTGAAACTTTAATACAGATCCACCTGGTGAAAGTGCAAGTAGCATCCCTGAAACTTTAATACAGATCCACCTGGTGAAAGTGCAAGTAGCATCCCTGAAAATTTAATACAGATCCACCTGGTGAAAGTGCAAGTAGCATCCCTGAAACTTTAATACAGATCCACCTGGTGAAAGTGCAAGTAGCATCCCTGAAACTTTAATACAGATCCACCTGGTGAAAGTGCAAGTAGCATCCCTGAAACTTTAATACAGATCCACCTGGTGAAAGTGCAAGTAGCATCCCTGAAACTTTAATACAGATCCACCTGGTGAAAGTGCAAGTAGCATCCCTGAAACTTTAATACAGATCCACCTGGTGAAAGTGCAAGTAGCATCCCTGAAACTTTTAATACAGATCCACCTGGTGAAAGTGCAAGTAGCATCCCTGAAACTTTAATACAGATCCACCTGTGAAAGTGAAAGTGCAAGTAGCATCCCTGAAACTTTAATACAGATCCACCTGGTGAAAGTGCAAGTAGCATCCCTGAAACTTTAATACAGATCCACCTGTGAAAGTGCAAGTAGCATCCCTGAAACTTTAATACAGATCCACCTGGTGAAAGTGCAAGTAGCATCCCTGAAACTTTAATACAGATCCACCTGGTGAAAGTGCAAGTAGCATCCCTGAAACTTTAATACAGATCCACATGGTGAAAGTGCAAGTAGCATCCCTGAAACTTTAATACAGATCCACCTAGCATCCCCTGAAAATTTAATACAGATCCACCTGGTGAAAGTGCAAGTAGCATCCCTGAAACTTTAATACAGATCCACCTGGTGAAAGTGCAAGTAGCATCCCTGAAACTTTAATACAGATCCACCTGGTGAAAGTGCAAGTAGCATCCCTGAAACTTTAATACAGATCCACCTGGTGAAAGTGCAAGTAGCATCCCTGAAACTTTAATACAGATCCACCTGGTGAAAGTGCAAGTAGCATCCCTGAAACTTTAATACAGATCCACCTGGTGAAAGTGCAAGTAGCATCCCTGAAACTTTAATACAGATCCACCTGGTGAAAGTGCAAGTAGCATCCCTGAAACTTTAATACAGATCCACCTGGTGAAAGTGCAAGTAGCATCCCTGAAACTTTAATACAGATCCATCCCTGAAACTTTAATACAGATGGTGAAAGTGCAAGTAGTAGCTCTGAAACATCAATAATATAGATCCACATTGTGAAATTGCAAAGTAGCATTCCATAAACTTAAATATAGATCCAACAGGTGAAATGATGACATTTAGCCCTTTTCTGCATGATGTTATTGATTTGTAAAATGAGGTAAATGTACATCAGGATTTTTTTTATTTGTATAAGTCATTCTGGTACTCATGTATAGAGTAGACCAGCAGTAAAACCTTCATGTTGAGCACATCAGTATGCTGACTGACTGGCATAGAAGTTGGAGAGTGAGTTTAGTGAGCGGAGAGTGAGTGGGCCACACAGACATGAGAGAAGTCGGAGAGTAAATAAAAAAAGTACAGAGTTATGTATAAGAGCTCCTGGTTTAAACCATAGTCATCCATGAAGCTGTGTTATATTTTTTCTCACTTCACTATGTGTTCTATATAGTCAATGAGTTTTTGGTTACACAGGTGAGAAGTCAGATTCACTAGAAAGACAAGTTGACCCTACCCTATACTATATGTTATATAGTACTAGGGTAAAGGGTTATCTATATGTCCAATCAACTTGCAGTTAACACATACAGTTAATGATGAGGTTATCTTCTAAATAGTTCACAAAGGTGAAGACAGATTCACTAACAAGTTGTATATACATGTGTTTCAGGTAAAGGGTTATCTCCAATCAACTTGCAGTTTATGTCCATCTGGGAAGAGTCTGTCTATTCCATCTACTTGCATCTAGCTCATGTTCACAGTGATAACTGATTCTGAAAACAACTGTAACAGGTTATCACTTCCACATTAATTTGTCGGTATGAAATACTCTTACTTGAAAAACCTTCAACAGACCCGTGAAGATGTGGGTTAGAATTGATCTTCAGTAACCCACGCTTGTCCTAAGAGGCGACTCCAGTGGTCAGGCTCGCCCTGGTTGACATAGGTTGATGCTCATGCTGTTGATCACTGGATTGTCTGGTCCAGGCTTGACTATTTACAGACCGCTGCCATTTAGCTGGAATATTGTGGAGTGCGGTGTAAAACTAAACTCACTCACTCTTCCTCAACATTAGTCAGCTTATCAATGTGCCTATGGAGATTTTATTGTATGCACATTATTCTTATTTGGTGTTAAACACTTTAAAACAAGCTCTATGTACTATACCCAATTCACAATACTATAAGGTCTGTTTATGACCATATGGTGACTTTACATATCTAAGATGTAGGTTGCTTGGAAAAACTGTTGAAAATTCTTCACTCTCCATGATATATTCAGAAGATCTATGCATAGAAAAAGGACATTATGAAATAGTGGCATAAAATTTATTGAAACAGGATTCAGAGTCAAATCTCCCAGTGTTTGTTCATACTAAAAGATATGGATGCAAATTGTACATTAGAACAGAAAAAGGCCCCAAATCATACTGCTCTGCCTCAGAGTTACCTGTACATTAAAGAAAAACCCTCGCAGCTGTCTACACTGGGACATACATGATCATATATACCATATGTACATTATAACACCACCACACACAGCAGTGCCTCTGAGTTCCCTGTCACACACCAACCCTGGTAGTTGTCTACACTGGGACATACATGATCATATCTATACCATATGTACATTATAACACCACCACATGACAGCAGTGCCTCTGAGCTCCCTGTCACACACCAACCCTGGTAGTTGTCTACACTGGGACATACATGATCATATATACAATATGTACATTATAACACCACACGACACAGCAGTGCCTCTGAGTTCCCTGTCACACACCAACCCTGGTAGTTGTCTACACTGGGACATACATGATCATATCTATACAATATGTACATTATAACACCACATGACACAGCAGTGCCTCTGAGTTCCCTGTCACACACCAACCCTGGTAGTTGTCTACACTGGGACATACATGATCATATATACAATATGTACATTATAACACCACCACACACAGCAGTGCCTCTGAGTTCCCTGTCACACACCAACCCTGGTAGTTGTCTACACTGGGACATACATGATCATATCTATACAATATGTACATTATAACACCAACACACACAGCAGTGCCTCTGAGTTCCCTGTCACACACCAACCCGGTAGTTGTCTACACTGGGACATACATGATCATATCTATACAATATGTACATTATAACACCCACATGACACAGCAGTGCCTCTGAGTTCCCTGTCACACACCAACCCCTGGTAGTTGTCTACACTGGGACATACATGATCATATATACAATATGTACATTATAACACCACATGACACACAGCAGTGCCTCTGAGTTCCCTGTCACACACCAACCCTGGCAGCTGTCTACACTGGGACTTACATGATCATATATACAATATGTACATTATAACACCACCACACACAGCAGTGCCTCTGAGTTCCCTGTCACACACCAACCCTGGTTGTTGTCTACACTGGGACAATATGTACATTGAACACCATATACAATATGTACATTATAACACCACACTGGGACATACATGATGACACAGCAGTGCCTCTGAGTTCCCTGTCACACACCAACCCTGGTTGTTGTCTACACTGGGACATACATGATCATATATACAATATGTACATTATAACACCACCACACAGACAGCAGTGCCTCTGAGCTCCCTGTCACACACCAACCCCGGTAGTTGTCTACACTGGGACTTACATGACCAAAGAGGTTAACCCCGTCAGCAAGCTGACAAGGTAAGGATGTCATCTGTGGGATGACTCCACGCCCTGCTACATATATACAATATGTACATTATAACCACACATACAGCAGTGCCTCTGAGCTCCCTGTCACACACCAACCCTGGCACTTGTCTACACTGGGACATACATGATCATATCTATACAATATGTACATTATACCACCACATGACACAGCAGTGCCTCTGAGTTCCCTGTCACACACCAACCCTGGTCTTGTGTGATTAGTATTTCATGATCATATATATAACCAGAGACCATATAATAGAGGGACGGCCCTCGAGCGAGTGTGCAATACAATCATCTATTATATGGTCTCATATAACCACATACACATGTTGAGCCATGTAACCGTAGTCTACAATACAGCCATGTAGCATAAAGTTACACATCAGTAACATGACAAACTAGACAACAGTTTAAGTACAAAAGTAATGTTATCCCTTCAACATACTTTAGGAACACTGCTACTATTAAAGAATACCATTATTGACCATAAAGCTATTACTACACATGGGCAGACTGGCAGTACAATTACAACCACTGACTCCTCTTCTTCAGAAGACATTCAAACTGGATATTCAAATCAGAATAAATGTCCACCTTTCCTGGCAGGAAATTTGTCTTTTCCCACTCATCCTGGGCCACATTGTCCTTGTAATGTACACCATGCATGTCATTCTTGAGTATTTCACCTAACTCTGGGGCTGCATCTTCAGTAGAAGGGTTCAGGAAATCGGTCTTAACTACATCCAAATTATCCACAGATATAGATAGCATGTTAAGTGTCTTTTGGAGAGCTTTCACCAGGAGTGTTATGTGACCACAGCCTGTAACCTGGCCTAGTTTCCTGTCATGCGTTCTGTATGATCCAGTTGGTGAATCAGAGTGAGACACAGTGTGCAGGGTTACGCATGTATCTGTACCTCAACTGTTATATAACGGATTCTGGATTTGATGAATGGCAAGCCACTGTTTCTTCATCCTTCTTTCAAACTAACTGAAAATTAAACAAAAATATATTTTAAGATGTTCATCAGTTATCTCACTTTGATGTATGAACAACATGAAAGTAAACAGATCACTCCCGGGTCCCCAAAGATGTACTCCACATAGTAAGAATCATAGAAGGCCTTCTGTATTCCTGTATTCATAACAGTTATTGCCAATACATCAGTATCATGCCTGCGCAGTTCCTGTTAGCTACAATTCTGGTAATTTTTTCCACAGTATTTGAGAACAATAAAGGACAGCAAAAGAAAATTCTTCACGTTAAGTAACATAAGTGGAAAAATAAAGATAAAGTTATGAACCCTATATAAAAAATTTAACTTAGTATCAATCTACTGTAAAAACAAACACTCAACTAGACACACAGTCAATTATTCCAGGTTACTTTATGGCATAAAAATATATTATTTCACGAATGACATGAGAAATTCTGAAATGGCGATAACTATTAGTTTGTTGGGAGAAAACTCCTATTTGTACTGCCAAGATTCCCTTCCACCGCATTATATAAAAACACGATCAGCAGCAGTGAACATACTGGAGACATTGGTGAATATATCGTAATTAATTCTGTTTCATTCATTTAACAAACGGCGATGAAATTTGTAAATGCCACTAAAATATGGCAATAACTGTTCGGCAGCCAGTAGCTTTCCAGCCATCCATTATGACTGTGGTCCCTTTCACAACATGCTTCTCAATTGCCGGGATGAGTGTGTCAGCACTGTGATCAGTCAGGGTAGTGAGGCTGAAGGGTTCGTTGGCACGGGTACTATACAGATGTGTACCTCAGGTACGCTTCTATGTACGGAAAAGTATCCTAGCCAAAATAAGAATACAGAACGTACCCCTGGACGATTCCATTCCGCAGTGTGTTGTTTTCTTGATTGGAATCAAGATACGGTTGTAATTAGATGCATTTGATTGCGTTCTAAGAAACGACCATACGCAGTAATGAATATTTCGCAGAGCACAATAAGATTTGCAATCAGTTAACATGAACTACTACATAGTTTCGGTTTTGGTTTGCGAAATATGCACTCGTCGTCCGTGTAAGGTGCCGGGTACATTTCTGTAGTTTGGCTTTGTTTAGGGTACATTACTATATACAGAAATGTACCTGGGGTACATATCTGTAGTACCTGTGCCGACGACCCCTTCAGCAGTAGTGAGCAACACCTGTCTGCTTTTATCGTTCGATTGTCCTATCTTCAGTTCTTGCTGGGTTACGTGGGAAGGCGTCATATAATCTCAGTAGTAAGACTTACATCCATACCCACCCCCCCTTCATTTTAATGATAAGGAAAAATATATATTCAGAATCTAAATTCATCAATTTTTTTTGCACATGAATAGGTGATGATTGCAAATGGCTTCGGTAAACAAACGTTTCATTCACGAGTGGAATATTAGGCATTTTCAATTTGCTGAATCTATGAATAAAATAATCAGTGAGTATACAAAATGAAATCGTGCTTTTAAAACATGATTTTTCCCGCGCTTCCCTTATATCCACAAATGAAGGTTAAGGCTATATTCAGGTGGCATGGTTTAAATTTAATATAGTGATATACTCCCACAGACCTCAAAGTCAAAGTTACAAACATATCTGAATTGACCTTTACCTAGCCGAGCGCCGCGATGTGTTTCTGCATCATGTCTTGACTGACTATCGGCTAACCCCCGACCCACCGATCGGTTATACAAGATAGATGTTTTAAACGTGCTACAACGTACCAGTAATCTAACCAGTTTGTTCAACAAAATAACATGATTACACTAACTTGAAGAACACGACAGAAAATAACAAACGCACCATATTTCCAAGAGTTGAAAAAGTGAGCCTCCCCCAACGTCTAACTGCAAGTGTTTGTAGCTGTGAAGTTCGTGCACCTGTCGCAGTTTCGTACATATTGTTACCACTGCGTTGAAAATTCTTTTATTATAATATATAATCCTCACTATAATTACTAACTACCCTAGTCACTGATGTTTGTAGGATATGAAAATTGAAATATACGAAACCAAAGTTTTTAACTCGACATGATAGGCTTTGTAACATGGCGGTGTGAGGAGTTTACATATCAACATTGCAGCATAATTATGTCTCCAATCTAGATTAGATGCCTTGGTAGAACATTGCCGAAGATGACATAGAACATGGATAACAAAAAGTTAAACTTTGTATAGAAATCATAGGTGAGAACTCACTTCTGTATAAGGTTTCCGATATAGTAGACAAGGGGTATAATATTGTTAAACTAAAATTTACATATGGGATTCACCAAGTTTATTATCTTCAGTTGCATGTCTTATACATAGGTGCTTGACTCTGATATGTTTATAAGTATGACCTATATATATAAGATATAAGATCTATAGATCTATAGGTCATACTTATAAACATATCAGAGTCAAGCGCCTATGGTCTTATAGTGTGAATGTTGGCATAGCTTCCTGCGGGTGGCTCTTGCTTTGCTGATCATGCCTCTTCAATCCTAAAGTTCCTGAGTCTACCTTTTTTAATCAAACACCCTGTTACAACTTTTGAGTCTATGTACACCTTTTCAATCAAACACCAATTTATGATCCTTTGGATTCCTTGTGAGTAAGTCTGTGGGTCAGCTGTCCCTTGCCTGTGAGTGATAAATGCAATATAGATTGAAGGAAATCTGTAATGTGTGGGTTATTAATTTTATATCACAGATTTTAGTTAATTGATTCAATGTATTTTGAGGGAAATCTGTACAAATATTTAAGATTTGCTAAGATGAATGGTTACTGTATATGTGCATCAAGTCAAGCTATTGGGTCTCTTTGTAAATGTGATAGAGCCTGTGGTCTAATTTGATTAACTTATTAGCCTTGCAGAGATGATACAAAACCCTTAGATTGACAATATCACATGAACGGCGGAGTCTTTTTTTTTTCAAACTGTTAGTGCAGAGAAAGGCCTTTGTATTATTGAGACACAATGGTCTCCATAGTTGTATTCCATGATGTTTGGGTGTTGAAGTGGAACATTAGTGGTTATTGTACTTTTACATTCAAATGTAGCAAAATATAACTTGCATTTTTTCACTTAGTTTAATTTGTTTTGCTGACAGATTGAATAATGAAGGGTGTGTTAAAGCTCTTGGTATACCTACTGTGCCTGTCCCTCTTGCTGGAGCTGGTACTTGTCAGCGGAGTGGAGTACACCTTTAAGAGGTACAGCTACAAGAAGAAAAGAGATGTAAGTATTGTCAGGATAAGAAGTTAATAATGACTTATTCCATTGATTTTATAGTTCTTTGGGTGTGTTTGTTCAGTTTTAGGACACAAATCCAGGGGTTTACCTTGAGTCCTGTATTTGAGGGTCCCTGGGAGTCAGTGGGACTCATACTTTTAATTTTCAGGGGTCCTGGACTACAAAATCAATTATCATTAATTCTATGTTGTAATATCGTTGTAATTCAGTTACTGTGACTGTATTGCGTATCATGATCATCACATTGTTACAGTAATTAAATTGGAAATGATACCATAACCCGGCTAGTAGCAGAATCAGTGATAACTTAGTGTTACTTGATCGAAATTTTTACACAAAGTATTGGGATTTTTCCTGCATCCCTGTGGACACGCTAATAATTTCATTACATCCATTGTCAATTTTTATTTGTATAGGACGCAGGAATTCGTGTCCCGTAAATCCCTGCAAATCGTCACAGAATTAGATATTTATTTGAACAAGTGATCATGAAATGGTACAGAGTTGCCATTTACTTAATGTAAAACTAAAAGAGGCAGTCAAAAGGGAAATATCACTAGTCCTGAATTTTGCTAGTGTTGGACTAGTAACACAAATGTTTATGCATATTGAAATGCTAATGAACTAAGTGCTTTTATAAACTTTACCTTCAAGTTAATGTATGCTAAGTTACATTGTGCTAGTGGATGTGACAGATCATGTTAGAATTGATCAACAGCAAGGACTGTTGCTGTAAGAGGCAGCTCACAGATTACATGCTCCAACTCAGTGGTTTGGTTGTACATGTATATCATCACATCCTTTTGATTATTTACAGATTGCCTTTAAAGTATTGTTTGACATGACAAATAAATATTTCCAGAAATAATGATTATACATGATGTGATGTGTGGAATAAAAATTTCATTTTTCCTTTGAAATGTACTGTGTCATTGTAGTTTGTAGTCAGTGTAAAGAAGTAAGGCGGTGCCTGCTGATCTTGAATGTACATTATATGTACAATCTAGGGACTTCCATTAATCTCTAAATTTAACATTAGGGTTACGATTACTCTGTCATACAGACTTTTAAACAAATATTTCAAAGAAAGCCCATGCAAGTCTGGAATATGTGGCAAGTCTTATTTGTGTATCCTGTTTCCAGGACAAGCGTTACAAGCAAGTGAAAGACAGATGTGAACGAGCTGGAGTATGTGAAGGGAAGGGGAGTCTGGACTTCATCAAGTGTCTGCGTCAGTGCATGGCCGAGAAGTGCTATGATGAACTGTATGGTGCTGATGAGGTAAATGTTGTAGATCTGTACGAGTCAGAAGTACTACAATCATGTGCTACAATCATCTTAGAGCCAAGATCACTTGTGGACTCTGGCTCAATTTTATAGTTCTGTCACCATATCGTGGTGTGGAATAAATGTTTGTGATGGACAACAAATATGTCCAAGTTCATATGGAGCCAATAATTTATAAGAGAGACACCCATGAAGATGCAGGTTAGAATTGATCTTCAGTAACCCATGCGTGTTGTAAGAGGAGACTGTAATAGGAGTCGGGTGGTCAGGCTCACTGACTGGGTTTGTTCTGGGGGTTTATCATCGTATCCCAGTTGTGTAGATCGATGCTCATACTGTTGATCATTGAATTGTCTGGTCCAGACTAGATTATTACATATAGCTGGAATATTGTTGGGTGGCACAAAACTAACTCACTTATAAGAGAGACAAAGCACAAGGGAGAAAATCAGTGCACAGCCTTGGAAGACGTGATGAAAACTGTCTCGTCTGTGTCCCTTGTCAGAATGAACCAATCCCTGGTTTAGTGGATAGGACCCTGATCAGGAAGTGGAGCAATCCCAGACTGCATGATATCAGATGATGATAAAAGAGTGTACTTGTTGTCTTGTTCGGCCCAACATTAAGGGGTAGCACAATGACTTGTAGTCAGGTGTCACTGTAGTGTTCTCAGTGGGATATCCATGTTACACTGTTGATATCTCAATGAGTGAGCACTATAAAACCATTAGTAAGTCCGGGCTACTACAAGCATCCACAAACACATTTCCAAGCACATTGCTTAAAAGTGAAGTGGTGTTTAATGCAGTGTTTCGTCCCATTTCACCTTACCTTACCTGAACTCACCCTCGTCTCACCTTGCCTTGTCTAAATGAATTGACAGGCATCCTGTCTGACCATTTGCTGGTCTGCTGATCTCCTGTGTACTCTCAGTATTAAGTTATGTAGTATGCTTGGTGCATAGAAAAATATGCTTCCAATTCAGTGTACATGTTTTCCCATGCTTCTCCAAATTACTGTTACATGCTTTGATGTGCGTTTTCCAATTACTGTTTTCACAAGTGGCTTCCAATCAATGTATATCCTTTCATTATATAAACGAATCATATTCTCTCATTCACCTGATAAGGGGCAAGAAGTAGCCCAGAAATGTCATGTTGTAAATATAAAAGGAGTTGTAAATCCATACCATACGTTGTTATGTTACCTTCCAACTTCTATATGCCCATCAAGCATCTGAGTTATTGATAGGATATCAATGTTAGTTTGAAGATAAATCAGTGTTGAAATATTCAAACAGTTGAATAATTCAACACTTTCTTGTTAATGGGTTAAGTGTTGTTAATCCATAGTGTCACAATACAAGTCATATTTAGCTACTATTCAGAGATGTTGAGGATAGTTAATTGCTTACTCCACACATATTCCTTCATTTGACAATATTAACCTATCTTAGAACCTGAGACAGTAGAAACAGTGTGTTGCCATTTATTATATGTTATCATTACCACCCAGGGGTGGAAATAACCCATTGCCCGACGTCCGAGTCCAGTGTTTTTTTCTGTCGGGCAAGCAAATTTGTATATCACACTGTACCAGTGTCCAGTTGACTTTCCAATGTTAATTATATTGTTTATTTAAAAAATCAACAAGAAAATGGCCAGTACAGTGGACAAATTATCAGGGCAAGTGATTTTACATGTGCCACTTTACCAGAGTACACTAGCAATTTTAAAGTTATTTCCACCCCTGCCACCAGTTATTCATTATTCTCAGAAACAATATGTTTTCATGTCATTCATTGTGAACAGAATTTATTAATTTTATATCAATTTGTTTGTTACATGACATAAGGGAGACTATATAAGGGGGAGTGGTCACTCCTCGAAAAGCCCCTAAGCGTATGCCTCGGCTCGTCACGTGACCAGTGTAGCCAATATGGCGGCAGCGTAGTTTTTAAGATTGAGCCAGGTTTATTTTCAACAGCTGATTACATTCGCTGAGTGTTGTGAAAACTAAAAACCTACATATAGAAGATAAGTTACCTATTCTGTCACTTCATTTTAAGTCAAATAATTGTTATTAGTGTCAGTATTAGTACAGTAGATTTGTAGTAAAGTTTCAAGTCGGCATGTTGTAGCTCACTGGCTTCAATTCTCGGTACACAGCAAAGAAAGACTAAATTCTATCGCTAAAAACTTCTTTTAAAAGGGAAATATACCTTTAGTTGAAAGGTGTTTGCAAGTAATAGTGATAGTTTTATAACTAAAAAAAATTGTTAGGGTGTATTTGAGGTGTGTGAAAAATATGACATATCGCCTATCTGCCATTTATATACTACAGGGCGTTGTTTGAGTGTTTCTAGTTATTGTTCTAAAACATCTTTCACATACACCTTTAATATTTATGAGGGGAATATACCATCAGGTGAAAGGTGTTTGCAAGTAATAGTGATAGTTATATATTTAAAAACAAAATTTAGGGTGTATTTGAGGTGTGTGATAAATATGACATATCGACGATCTGTTCTGATCCGCCATTTATGCTTGTGATGCTTGAGTGTTATAGTTCTAAAACTTCTTTCTTTCTTGTTGATCTTAGTATTTGACAAAACTGGAAAGGTGTTTACAACGCTTTGTGATAGTTCTAAACTTTCTGTTTTTAAGGGGTGTGTGACAGTGTCAGTTAACATTCTGTCAATGTCCATGCCATTCCACACATGCAATAAGATATCTGAAATGTAAAAAATGTCTCAAAGTAGATTTTTATGTGTTCTAGCGATAGTTTTGCGTTCTTTAATATGTTTGGGGAGGGATGGCCGTGGTGTATCATTTATTTATTCATTCATTCACATATGTATTTCTTTTGTTCATTATTTCTTTCATTCATTCACATATAATTCTTGCTCTTCATTCATTCATTCATTGTAAAATTCCGACTGATACAATAAACTGGCTGATGTACTGTTAAACGCAGCCGAAGTTGTGCTGGGAACGAACCAAGTCACTGTGTGCGCTTGGAGCATGATGAGGCACACGCCAAATAGTACAAATGGTAAAGAAAGCAAGCGAGTGACCTATCCCTGTTGTAGATTATCCCTGATGACATGGAGATGTGGAGGAGAGTGCAAGAGGATGGAAGGAATGACAAACCCTGGATTTTAACTTGTATATATACTCTACTATTTCAGTATATTTTTTTTATATTTGTGACCAATCTTGAGAGAAATTACAAATCTTGTGTTTTCAGTTGGAGGAAGGTGAAGTGGATGTGCGACTCAATTCTTTCAAAGGCTGTCTTTATCAACAGAACTTCTAAATGAAGAAAAGTTGTGGACCCAGTAGTATTTCCAGTGGAGGACTTCAGTTCAAAGCAACAAGGCATAGAGTTCTCATCACCTCCATTAATACAAATTCACTTAACTGGTGAATATGGAACTTACAAATGTTCCCAGTGCATTTCTCAGGATTTTCATCAAGTTTTTGGGTTGTATTAGATCAGCAGCAGAAATTGAAAGGAGTAAAATGTTTCCTGTTTATCAATATTTTCATGTCCTGTATAAAATACAGAAATAAAAACAAAACTCAAATATTTTGTTTACATTTGTTGTATTTCTATTCATTCAACACTACTAAAGTTGCAGAAAACAAATTGTTTTATCATAATTGTCATGCTTGTTTTCAGTAAACAATAATTGAAACAGAAAATATATATAACCCATAACAGAGATAAATAACATTTCACTTGGATCTAATTCACACTTTCCTTGCATACATCTTCAAGTTCTTAAAGTAGTGTCCACACTATTATAACACAAGAGACCATAAACACATTTAACTTTATCATAATTGTAGGGACAAGAAACACATAACAACAAAATAATGTAAATATAACACCCACACATGTTAAGTACTTCTATTTCTACATGTATGTTTCAAATGAAACTCACCGGACATGGAATACGAGATTATATCCTCCATGTTAAACTGTGCAAGGTTTAATATACACACACCCAACTTATCCAGTCTTCAGATAGCAGGAAACATGGTTTTGATGACCATATATTTGAAGGTTATACATACAGAGGACCTCAGCTTTCTTCATATACATAGGAGGTAGACCTGATCTCATGACAAATAGTTTCACCTTGTATCGCTGGCATTACAAGGAGATTCTTATACATAGAAGATCATATAGAGCATATACCCGAATAGTTTGATTGGTTCCATTCTGAATAATTAGTGCAAAGTAAGTGACCCCCACTGCATGTCATGTACAAAATCAATGGAAACACACACACCCCTCGTAATTTTTAAACATAATATTTCAGCTTAGTTCTACCTTAGTTTAGGAGGCAGGGAGGTTAAAGAGACCTGCACAGTTTCAATCAAACAAAAACAACTTTTTTGAGGTTTTGCAGTTCAAGTCAATAAACAAAAAGCTCTGATTATCCATTTTTCTTTCTTTTTCCTTTTTTTTGGTGGGGTGAGAAATTAGGTATCAAACTTTTCACCTGCTCCCTCTGTCAGTACAACAAGTATGTGAGGTAGTTTTAATGGTGAAGTCAGAAGAGCTGCCTCATGTTGCCATATATACTACCTCACCTTTGAAAAGAATAATTAAACGTGTACCACAAAGAGATAAAATATCATTTTCAAAAGTGGAGTAGTATAATAATGAAGTGCATTAATGAAACAACAAAATTTAAACACAACAAAAGGGCACGTCAATGTAATAAATATTCCAGTTGAAATGGTCCTTTCCTCCCTCATTGTCCTTATCAGGGGCAATCATTTAGACTTAGACTGACTGAGTTTAGTTTTGCCGCTTTAGCAATATTCCAGCAACATCACGGGCTAGGGGACACCAGAAATGGGCTTAAGACATTGTGCTCATGTGGGGAATCGAACCTCGGTCTTCGCTTTTAACCATTCAATACTTTTACAACTGTCATGTATTTGTGCAAACATTAAGTTGAAGCATTTGCCATTATCAGTGCAAGACAAACCAGTTTATCTGGTCTAGACGTGATTACTTACATGATGCCATCATGTATCTGGATCATTGCTGAGCGCAGCTTTTAACAAGAAACACTGGGGTATACATCAAACTGGAAAATACCCCACACAAAATCATGAGTTAATGATGATGAACTGGGTGAGTGAGATAAGTGAGCTATATCACACCTATGTCATGTATAACTTTGTATACAGCCAGCAGATAAACCTTTGTTTCATTGGGTTAGCAACAATCTACAACATCAGTATACAATGACAAAATGTAGCACTGTTTAGAAGTTGATGGGGTGATACGTACTGATATACTGTAAGTAGTGTTACAGTTTTTGGACGAGGGAGGCATTTTATGATTTGCATGTTATAATACTGTGATTTGGTTGAAATACTTTGCTCAAAAGAAGTTAAAGAACTTCTTTAGATTCTTTTCAGTAGTATATATATCACCAAATGAGTTATTCATTAGATATACCCAATCCATTATAAAGTTTTTGATGTATGTTTCATTTGCTTCGAAACTGAAGGGTAGGCACTCTCCCATCTGCCACTAAATCTCTTTTCCTCTGTATCAAGGTAGGGGTTAGTAGGTCTTGATGCTACATATAATCAATAAAACCATTCCTTGGTCAATCTCAACAGTACATTGATATACTGTCAGGTTGGTCTACATGCTACACTGATATACTAAAAGGTTGGTTTGTCTCAGTGCTACACTTATATCTACTGGAAGACTGGTTTGTTTCAGTGCTACACTGATATACTGGAAGTTTGGCTGGCTTCAGATATACTGGAATACACTTGATATACTAAATGGTTGGTCCAGTGCTACATACTATAATGGTTGGTTGGCCTCAGTGCTACACTGAAATACTAAATGGTTGGTTGGCAGTGCTACACTGATATACTGGAAGTTTGGCTGGCTTCAGCGATACACTGATATACTAAATGGTTGGTTGGCCTCAGTGCTACACTGATATACTGGAAGTTTGGCTGGCTTCAGCGATACACTGATATACTAAATGGTTGGTTGGCCTCAGTGCTACACTGATATACTGGAGGTTTGGCTGGCTTCAGCGATACACTGATATACTAAATGGTTGGTTGGCCTCAGTGCTACACTGATTTACTGGAAGACTGGTTTTGTCTCAGTGCTACACTTATATCTACATTGATAGACTGTAAGGAGGGACGGTAGTGGAGAAGAATCTACTAGAAGTAGATTGGTCCCCATGCTACATAGCTGTAGTGAGAACGTAGCAGTTGCTCCAGCTCCTCTGTGTGATCAGCGTCTCGTGTTTCAACAACGCACTTCACCTGAAAGTGTATGCATTTCAGAGGTCACATAACTTGTATTTTCAGTACAGTAAAGGTTTCTTATGAATATGGAAAGGGATTCTTGCTTTTATTTGTTTATATTTATATTATCACAACTATAGCCTAGTACAATTAAAATTTCAAGTTTGCAAATTTCCTAGATTTTTATTCCAACTGTTGATAAAATTCTGAACTTGCCTGCACTGCGAAGACATCACTTTTCAGCCAAGCTCTCTCATGGAATATGTCCTTAATACTAAAACAAACATATTGAAGCATTGAAGCATATATTTCCAAACAGTAGAATATTTCAAAATTAAAAATCCTGTATGACAAATTGACAATCTAATAACAGAAGAAAATTGATATTTGTCCTTAAGTTTCAACAAGACCTTATAATGAGGACATGTTTCTGAAATTGTTTCTTTAATAAGGCCTTTTAAGAATACTGTATACCATTTGACTAATGAGTCAACAGGTTACATCAGTTCTGAGAAATATTCCTACCTGACTCCCTTGTCTGCTATAAGACGAGTGAGCTCTGCAATACCTCCAGGTCTGTCAGTAACCGTGACAACAAATCTGACCAATCGTCCATCAGCAGCTAGGCCTCTTTCAATGACACGTCCAAGAGCTGTTGTGTCAATGTTTCCACCACAAAGGGCCACAACCACTCTGTGATAAGGATTGCAATAGTGAGTGAGTGACTTGGGTTTAATGCCACATAGAACAGTGCTTCAGTTACATTATGGTATGGTCAGCTTCACATTTGCCATTAGTCAGGGGAATCAAAGGAGGGTCACCATAAAATAAGGACTAAGAGGACGATTATACACATTTTACACATGATACTGCTTTAATATAGTCATTATTTCCAGTACATCAGAAATATCTGACTCATTCACCCTGTAAGAAATGACTGGTCCCTTAGGGTTCTATGTTTTTCAGCTTGTTCTTTTCAGGAAAAAGACCACGATCAGGAACTTTCATCACTGGCATTTTTTTCAACTACATGAGAATCTACACATTAAGAATCTCATTTTTGACTTTGTACTTTTAAAACACGCATATACTTGAAATTTTTAAACTGAAATATGGGTGCTACTTTTGTGTGAAGATATACATTTGGAATAGGGAAAACACCATGATCATTTACTATTTAGAAAACATAAAAAGCAAAACACTAAGAAACTGTTTTGAAAGTAAATTGAAAACTTGGACATACTTTTTGCCAGCCAGTTCAGGGAGCAGTCCCTCAACAATGGCTGCTAGCCCTGTGGCCCCAGCCTTCAACCACCGCCTTCTCCAGCTCGATGAGACGCAGGATTGCCAAAGCAATATTTTCCTCCCTGAAACAGTCAGAGAATCTCCATACAGAAGATACCAACAGTATGTTTCAATACAACAAATAACACAATATTTCATCTACAGTAAACTAAGTTTATAATGAACATGCTCACAAAGAACTGTTTTGGGATCGCTGGCACTTATTGTATGTTTTATTCAAAATGTGAATATCAAACAACAAAATACACATAGTGCTCCTTTTGAATTTGCTGTAACCATATCTAACTGTACATCATAGCAGCCTGTGAAGCTTTCAATGTTTTATTTGTTGTTTTAACTAAAAATTAAACAAACTGAAATTAGAAAATTTGATAATTTTTTTGTTCTTTGTTGTACTTTGTATTAGGTGAAATTAAAAATATCCTGACATCATAAACCTTGTTTGTTTTAATGTTGAGGTGTTGGAACACTTTTTTCCGATCATCTCTATTGAATTTAGGTCAAACAGTGTGTAAAGCTGATCCTGTTTTGGACTGATGGCACAGTAGAAGTAACACCTGGTCCAATTTGTGACTAATCTAAATCACAGCCCTTAAAACTCACTTGACTTGAACCATTTTGTCAATGAGAGGTTTCCCTGTTGCAAAAGCATTGACCCCAACTTCTGGCACAGCTAGACCTGAAATATCACAAAACATGACATTAAGCTGACTCAGTTTAGATTGGAAATATCACATAAAACATGACATTAAGCTGACTCAGTTTAGACCTGAAGTATCACATAAAACATGACATTAAGCTGACTCAGTTTAGACCTGAAGTATCACATAAAACATGACATTAAGCTGACTCAGTTTAGACCTGAAGTATCACATAAAACATGACATTAAGCTGACTCAGTTTAGACCTGAAGTATCACATAAAACATGACATTAAGCTGACTCAGTTTAGACCTGAAGTATCACATAAAACATGACATTAAGCTGACTCAGTTTAGATTGGAAATATCACATAAAACATGACATTAAGCTGACTCAGTTTAGACCTGAAGTATTACATAAAACATGACATTAAGCTGACTCAGTTTATGTAAAATAAGTCATAAAAGACTGTAATCTAAAGGGCATGTGTTTAAACAATAGTATGGATGTAAAAAAGTGAACTATCTGCCAAGTAAATACCTTGATAAAGCTATCAGTTCAGAGGGGTGGTGTGGTAGCCTAGTGGGCAAAGTATTCACTCATCATGCCCTAGACCAAGGTTCGATTCCCAACATGGGTACAATATGTGAAGCCCATTTCTGGATATTGTTGGAATATTGCTAAAAGCAGCATAAAATCACTCACTCACTCACTCTAATTTCAGCATTAAACCATGTACTGTACAAGGATGTCAACAGTAGGCACAGTATAGATGGGGATTATCATTGGATTATCAAGTCCACACTCATTTATTTCCAAGCTGCCATCACAGCTAGACTATTGCTGAATGTGCCATTTATTACAATTAAGAAAAAGAACACAGCAGTCACTTGTCCTGGATGTAACTGTCTAGCTTGGTGCACTAACCATCAGCCAAGGTTGAGGTTATTTTGGTGTAGACAGGCTTCCCTGCTTTAAGAGCTGCTGAAAAACTGGCACATTTTTCCGATTCCACACCCTGCAAAACCAGATAATTTCTATTACCAATATATTCTGCATGCATGTTACATGTATATTAGACACCCACAGGAAAAAGAAGTACTATTCTGATGTCAGTTTCATGTAGTCAGGATCGGAATTCCATAGCATTTCTTTCACACATTGTCCATTATCTACACAATAGATTTTAACTGACCTACAAAAAATTGCAAGCAAAGCATTTCATCATATACTGTAAACTGAAAAAACTACAACATCAGGACACATCCCTCATGGACTTCTTTTCTGATTGGCTGATAGGGTGACTGGGCACTGCTGTTGCAAATTATTCCACAGTCTTCACACTTAATAGATATACACAGTGTGCACAAAGTATTATTATGTTTCTACTTCCAAAGGTACTGAAGTAAACTCATAAAACACCTATTCACATACGTTTACTGTTTGTTTGCTGAACTCACAATGATCTGCACATTTGGATGAAGGCTCTTGATGGCCAGCGCAGTCCCTGCAATGAGGCCCCCCCCTCCGACAGGGATGATACAGGCATCAAGGTCGGGCACCTGCTCCACTATCTCCAGCCCCATGGTCCCCTGGCCAGCCAGAATGTGGGGGTGGTCATACCTGGAGTCACAGGTCACTATATAGCATTGATTGATTGCCTGTTGTTTAACGCCACCTGTTAGTCACCTCTTACATCAAGCATGGGTTACTGAAGACCCGGATCTTCACATGTCCACTACATGTATATAGCACTGAACACTGGTGTATAAAGATATATAACACTGTAGGGGTATGACAAGCACCTCAACTTCATTATACAATAACAACATTGAATAATGCTGAATATACATGCTAACAGGTAAACTGATACATAGAGTCAGTTTTGAAATGTTTCTGACTGGATATTACGTATGTCATAGCTGATACATCATCCTGGCTATTCTCTACATTACATTTTCAAATGGCTGTGAGAATGTGCAAAGGCCCCAGTCTTGTCAGACATTCAGAAATAATGGCTACAGTATCAAGTGTAAGTTGATTGTTTGCTGAGATTTGAAACAAATAAGTGGAAAGGAATTTATCCTTGGCTTGCAGTATGCAAATGTTACATTAGAGGCAGTTGGTGTTCACCATAAATGGCTTCATTGTGAAAAGGTAGGAGTTACTATTCCTGTGACAATGTATTCCTCTTAATCTAGAGGTTCATTTTTCTAAACATCTCTTATGTGCAGGGTTGCATCCATTACCTGGTATATTACCTCTACCAGGATCCCCTAATGTTCGTTACTCGTGAAGATCCGGGTTAGAAGTGATCTTCAGCAACCCATGCTTGTCATAAGAAGCAACTAACGGGATCACTGATTTGGATGACACATGTCATTGTATCCCAATCGTGCAGATCAATGCTCATGCTGTTGATCACTGGATTGTCTGGCCCAGACTTGATTATTTACAGACCACTGCCATATAGCTGGAATATTGCTAAGTTCGGCGTTAACCCCCTGGATGCCACAGGGACATATATGTCCTTCCCCTTCAACCCTCAATTTGAAGTCGAATAAAAATCAAAATATCCCACGCACACAAATACACTTCACAGTTTCGAATTCTGCGGGAAACTTCCTGTTTCTTGATACCATCCACTATTATTTTAGACAAAGCTCAAGTGCTGAAAATGACCTTTCAAAATAGGCTTCATCGAAAATGGCGACATTTTTGACACAGTACGAAATCGCGATTCACAGCGTTATTTGCTGTATGTTTCGAAATGTGAAAATCGGATAATTACTGTGAGTATTGAATTTCAAAATAATATATTTATGATCACTGATATCAGTTTTACATGATTTCGCTTAATTATAATTCTGAAACGCTTGTCGATGAATCTAGAATCGGTTGGGATGTTTTCAAAAATGCACTTTACACTTAACACCGAGCCGCTTTCCGCCATATTGATAGTGTTTACAAAATCAAGTTTCGCGAAGGCCGGTATTGAGACGCCTATTACATCACGTATATTTCATATTCATCTTCGAAAAATGCATCACTGAATTCCCCATACATTTTAGAATCAAACTGCAACTGGTCTTTGTCACCAATAATAACTGTCTAGATAAAATGAGACGAAACATATTGGTGTGAAAACTTAACGCTGTGCTTGAAAGACTGCGCTTTGTGTGAAATGTAAACAAAGATAAATTCGATTTTACACTGGCGAGCATTTTCTGAAATTTTTCAACATTCATCCGCCTATTCATTGCTTGCAATGGCTCAATACCTTTAGAATATACATTGAAAGAGTATCGTAGAGCAAGAAATAGGAAATTATAAATGGATACAATGCAATGATTTGATAATTCATAAGAAATTGTCAAAGTTTCGCGGCAGCGTGGACGCCATGACTGACGCCAAATCACGCGAGAACGACAACGTAATTATCTGCATTTCTGTCCTTTTCTCTTACGATAGTGAAAACAATAAAACATATAACAATACACAGATAGTCAGAATCATTCTGATTACTTACATCTCATATTTATGTACAAACGATCCCTGAATCAGTGGAAGGGTCCTCGCGAAAATCCTGTGTACCCTTGTCAGCAAAGCCGCCATTTTGTAAGAAATCGGTCAGCGGTAGTGATGTCATACGTCAACATTGTTGTACATATTAAGCAATTTCTTTGAGGCCAAGGTCGGTTGAACAAGAGTAAACACAATCACCCTATCCTTCCGATTACACTGTCAGTATTATGATGTATATTTTGCGGATAGTTCGGATACTTTTTCATGAAACTGACTTCAGTATCTACATTTAGCCTTGTTCAATATCATATCATAATGCATATAGGGTTTACGGTGTTTTATTCTTTGAAAGTTTTTGATTGTTTGAATCATATTTACATAAGAAATTGACATATTTATTGCAATACACCATATTCTAAACCTTTACACAAGTGTTAGAAGATCAAACGTAGCCATAACTGTGACTACTTTAGTTCCTATGATGTACAATATTCAATTTATTTGGACTAATATTGCAATTTCATATGAACAGGTTAATGAACGGTGATATAATTCAACCTTATATGCAAAACTGATAATATTAATGACAATGATTTATATATGGTATGAAATGTATATGCACACATATTTAAAGGAATTGTCTTGTTCATTGCATAATTTTGTGTCGCTTTTATAGACAAAAGAATGATGCATATAGATCGGCAAGGTGCGGCGTTTGTTGGAAAGCGTTTTATGATTCGCTATCATTGTTTTCGATAATATATTCAATTCATATTCGATTAAATAATATTGTGATGACAGGATATCAAACTCTAACTATATTTATACGAAAATTGTTGAAAAATATATATACCATCTCATGTGTTAATTCGGACAAATCTTATATCCATATTCTAATATATAGTTCCATATATAAAAAGCTATCTTTTTGCATCTTTCACTGCATACGTATGAAGATAATAGCTTCATAATCATAAACAAACAAAATTCTTATCCCAAACAAAATATTCGGGTGTTGTGAAATATTATTTTTATTTACGTTAAATTGATGCCAAACAGGTGCGCGTGTTGTTCACAATAAGATACGCTGTCAAACTGTCTAATTGTTGATATATTCAGGACACTATTTAAAATGGAAAAATCAGTAATTTTATGTTTTGTCTAAAGAGTGTTAAATTCTGACATAGAAGTCTAGACCTTTTATACAATTAATGGAAATTAAGTGAGATATATACTAATCAGCATACCAATGTCGTCTTTTTCCGATGTCGCCAAAATGCATAAAACAAGCGATGACGCCAACTAAAATGTTGTATTATTTTCAGCAATTTCGTTACATTTGAAGATATGGCTAGTACTCTGGTAATAACGATGCAAAATTAGTCAAATTACATCTACACACACAGGAGAATATGGGAATCTAAGAACTAACTTATATATCGGATAGGGCCATTCAAATCGCTATTACGTGCCTTCACATGTAATACGTTGTCATCTTTTCTTATAAATTGTGAAACTACCAAGGCGCATCCGCTCACTTTGGGGAACTTTGAATTGGAATAGTGTGGTTCACCATGAATATAAAATAACGAAAATATAGCGTCCGTGATCCACAACAAATTCTCTCCAGGTGATCTGGGTTACATTGACCTAGTTTTTACGCATAACGGAGTTATGCCCCCTTATCATTATCGTGTATGACCACTCTGTCGCCGTTTGACATCATAGAAGAAAATACATTTTGACATTTACTGCGAGTCATTTTAATGTTGAGTATAACGCTATGCACAAGCACATAAACCAAATTCATATACACTTATGTCGCTCAGATATCAGGCTGTATTTTCTTCGCTCACACTTTCCGTAAAGATGCCCAATTAAAAATTCGTGAGCACAGTGCTTTTATCGGGTCGCGCCGATAAAAGCGGAGAAATTTACTGTTTTTTAACGCATAACAAAAATTTGGACAACATTTAGCAAGGTCTATTTCTCAAACCGCCAAGGTAGTTGCACTTATATTTATACCAACGGATAGGAAATTGAATATTCTACATTTCTGTGTAATTTTATAGCCTTACGTAGATCCAGGACCACGCGAGAGCAATTCTCGCACAACGTTCACTTTTCAAAGCGTATGAAAATGTGCGCCTGAAAAAAAACTCGGCAGCCAGGGGGTTAAACAACCAACCAACCAATCAACCAACCAACCTAATGTTCGCCTCTACAACTTTCCCTGCTATTACTCCTAGGTATGGTCATAAGCATAGCATTTACACTTTTACGACACATTTATTACCTTTCCTTCAATATGAGACTGATAGGCAATGATAAGACTGAGGACTGATAGGCTGTCTGAAAACAGCACTAAACTAAAGACACTCATTCACTCGGTATACATTGAAATTTCACAAGCTGAAATATATTTTACCTTACCCGTTAATGTATAGCAGATCCTTCGTCTTTCCAATATTCATTGCTACTACCTTCGACTGAAACAATAATGGTTGTGAACTGTTAGAATCACAAATAAACAAATGAATCAATGTAACCTTCTACAAAATGCATAGCTACTCATAAGGCACAGACAACAGTGATTATAGAGTCATGATCTCACTTAAGTGTATTGTGTTCATGTTGTGTCAAAATGTTTTGGCCGAAACAACTGAGGCAAAAACTTGTGTGATGTATTAACAATGATCCTGTTGACTTGAGAAGCATTCTCAAAGAATGTTACGGGTGCTTCAATCAATATTTGACAGATTTTTCCATTACGTGTTTCTGCATCTAATCCTTTTAAGAAATGGAAATCTTGTGTTTTCATATGTAAGGATCTTATAAACATCATCAAACAACATGTTAGACATGAAGGGAAGTTATTCTTCCTAATTATCCTGAATGATAAGTACTGTAATGGTACTAGTGGAAAATGAAGTGGGTTTTGCTGTTAAAACAAAACTCTCAGAAATGACTGACTGACTGAGTTTGGTTTTACGCCCCTTTTAGCAATCTTCCAGCACATCACGTCGGGGAACACCAGAAATGGGCTTCACACATTGTACCCTTGTGGGGATTCGAACCCGGGTCTTTGGCGTGACGAGCCAACGCTTTAACCACTAGGCTACCCCACCACCCCCTCAGAAATGAAAAATATGACATGCATGAATTAATCATCAATAGGGTGAGGGCAATCGGAGGTCTTTTATAACCTGAGCTGATTCTTTTACTTGCTGTTAAGGATACTTATCCTGAAACACTGAAATCCTTCCAGCTTCCAGTCATCCTGACTCACATTCAACAGTGACAAATGAAGGATGCTCAGTTACAGATTATAATATACTGCCTGCTACGTTTTTGATCCACTGTATTGCTGGTCTTGACAGCAACCTAAACCTTTGTGTTTCAATATAACTGGTTCATTAAATAAAATCTTTATCATTTACTGATTCCACAATTTCATTCTGTAATACCATTCTCTGAGGTTTTTTCTGCATCTCAACAATGAAATCACCTTGTAAGACAAATCAAATATCATTTAAAATGCTTACCTCAGCAATATCTTGTCCTTTCACTAGTACAGTGGCACCATAATGTCGACAAGCTGATACTTTCATGAGTGGTGCCACAATTGGCATGACAACGGTGACTGGAATGCCCAGGTCATTGCCATGAAATGCCAGTGCCAGAGCATGGTTGCCGGCACTGGCAGCAATCACACCCTTCTTCTTCTGTTCCTGTACACACAGACAGGGCTGATTATCAATGTCATCAACACAAGTAACAAACTTTTAGCCACAGCTGTTAACTTCTTTGATTGGCATTCTAGAAGTTGGGTAGATGAAGAATGAGGACTATTTTTATGGATATACAACTTCTTTAATCTGTATAGGCGATGTTTGACATAGATTCTAATACCATTTTCAAGCAAGCAAGTAAGTCAGCCAGAATAGCTGTTAGGTTAAACATCTTTCATTTTTGGTTTATAAATTGGCCAGTACTACAGCACAAGAATAAAATCATGAACTAATAAATGCCTAATTTGGCTGTGTTGTCCAGGATATTGGATGAGGAGAAAAATATGCATTTCAAAATGTTTATAATGGGGTGGGGATTGGGGACCAAGGATCCTAAGAGTTTGCTGCTAAAGAATGGACCCTCTAAATATTATTATTTTAGGGATATGACAGAAATCTCATGCCTTATTTCAACCACTGCTTAGTGGAGTCTCAAACATTTAAAGTTACTGTAAAGGAAATAGTTTTTCTGAAAAACGTACATCGGACAGTAGTAGCAGAGTGTATCTCGCTCCTCGCTCCTTGAAACTGAAACAAATAAAACAAACCATCTTTGGTGATGGCACCAGGTGTATGTATGTATCCATTGCTATTGATTTTGATAGAACTCTAGTTGCCATGGAATATATGTGAATAAAGTGTGTGTTATTTTGAAAGAACAAAACTGTCATTTTATGAACTAGATAGAAATAATGGTGCGAAAACTGAAAATACTGAATTTTTGGATTGCATTACAGTATACCGAACCGAAGGCAAATTACGGCAGTATACTGTTTTACTCCTAGTAGATATATGTAGATGTCCTAGTTGCTACTGAATACACTAATAATCAGATTTGACTGTTAGAACAAGAAGAGGAAAACCTGTCCGCTGACCTTCCTGTGTACTGCAAAAACTCTTTCTTGAAGTATAAGGACATTCCAAACAGGTTTGACATCTGAGATTTCTGAAATCAACAGTTAGGATGAATCTCCTGTTACAGAAAGTACAGTGAAAGTATAAGATGACTAAGCAATGGTGCTAAGTATTTAACTGTTTACTACCTTTAATGTTTTTCAGAACATCTGGCGCTGTTTAACTCAGTAACATCATTCATCTTGTGACAAAATTATCTTATGAGACTTTCATGTTAAATATTTACATTGCCTACAGGTGATTGACTGTGCTGGATTTTACTGCTCTTAGCAATATTCAAGCCATATCACAGTAGTGGACTCCAAGAATGGGCTTCCACTGTACCAATATGATACAGAGAGTAGAACCCAGGCATTGGTAAAAGCAGGCCATTGCTTTAACCTCAAGGCTACCCCACAGCTGCAACACTGACACAGAAACAAATAAACATCTATCTAACTGTATTACTAACTTAGACTAATGCTTAGTCTCTGAATATATATAGTTTTGATAATAACAAACAAGCCCATTTAAATTGAAAAGGAGCCCTAGAAGGACCAGAGATTCAGAGACTAAGAACATCTGCATTGGGGCTACACGTGCTGGGGTCATTACCAATTAGAAGTCACATCATACAACCATCAGATAACGGTACAAGTGACAGGCATATTTATTGAACTTGAGGAAATCTAGACTTGCTTTATTTAGGGCTTTAGCACTGCAGAGAGGACTTGGCAGTAGGGAAAATAATGTGGTTCAGGGACTGTGAGACAGACTATTACTAACTGTGCATGGTGTTTTTTGGATGCCTCCTTTGATTTTGTAGGCAGCAGCACTGACATCCTGGAACTTGATGGCCTGTGGGTTGTTGGGGTCACAGAACTCATCATGGACCTCTACATTCTCCTCCTCCTCCTCATTTGTGGTCTTCGGATCCATCACATACACGTCCAGGCTATCCTGACTGTCTGCTACCACCCCATTACACGCCTGCATAAAGGGAACAAACTGGGATATTATCACGTGTATTTATCAATATACTCAAGTCTCCTTAAAAAAACATTCCGAAGTCATATGAGCATTTATTAGGAATAAACTTTATTAATTAATAAAAATATAATGAAACAATGGAAGAAGCTCAGTGAGAATTCCTGAAAAAATGTTCACGATTCACGTCCTTATATGTAATTGATATTGTTTATGAAGACCATAATGATGGTTACAAAATAACAATTTAATTACATTTTGGTTTATCAGTTAAATTCCTAAAGTGGTTTTGTTTTTTATACCTATATACTTCAACCACCATCACTGTGCCTGTAGAGGCAAGTTCTCGTCACAGGCAAGACCGAACTCCAGTTAATGTGTTGCCAGCCTAGTTACTAAGTGTTGCCAGCCTAGTTACTAAGTGTTGCCAGCCTAGTTACTAAGTGTTGCCAGCCTAGTTACTAAGTGTTGCCAGGCTAGTTACTAAGTGCTAGTTACTAAGTGTTGCCAGCCTAGTTACTAAGTGTTGCTTATGAAGCTTTCCTTTACTATCTAACACACTGCAGATACTATAATGATCCTCTGTTTTCTGAATGAAAGAAATTATGTCCCCAAATCAATAATCAACGATCAAGTGTTAATTGTGAGAATGCTCCGAGAGTGAGTCGGGTTTATTACTTATTACCATTTTGTTATTGTATTACATCACAGTGTCTCAGTTTCACGTCGGAGGAATACCCAAAGTCATGCATGTCTTAGATGTTACCATTTGGTGAAACTTATCATCATGGGTACTGTACTGACAAAGGTAGAAACATCATTGGGACAAAATAGGATTCAAACATGGTTCAGAAATGTTTTGACAGTGTTCAATCAGTCACATGGGGAACATTGCTAATCTTACAGAAGATGGTCACATTACGTTACAATGAGCATACACTTTGGACATAGCAACAAAAATCGTATTGACTCACCACGACCTTCAGTGCAGCTAACTTGCTACAGGATTATCCAGATCAATATTTGCTGGAGTGACCGACATACTATTGGATGTGTGTCAAAATGGTTGATGATATTCAAAATGAAAGGTTTAAGATGAACTGAAAACACCCAGTTCTCATTGGTCAATCAGAAGTCTCAAAACATTAGAAAAGGTGAGAATAATATAGAAGTTGGCATGCATAAATGCTCACCTTTCATGTGTATCAAAGACTTCAAGTCATATATGATGTTATTACCAATTAACAGCAAGATAATGTCTAGTTTTGCCCATATTATGCTGAAAAGCACTTTTTACTCTGTCAATGCTACTTAATTATTTCAGTTTACAGTTACTTGAGCAACAGATATCCCTTTGGTGAATTACAATTCTTTGCAGACTGATATGAAATATTATAATGGTCAATAGCAATCTTCAGAGTTTTAAACCTTTATAAACTCATGTTTAGGTATTTATAAGTGTGGATTAAATTTTAAAACTGCAACAATAAAAGCAAAATGATTGTAATTTCTTGTGTATATTCCTTTACAAAGATAAATGTGAATCTGCTGCACCTGCAGTTATAACCTGCACTGCCACCTGACAGATAAGGACCAGTGAGTGATGTGGGTTTGACTCCATTTTGAGTCACACTGTGCATGTGTTTAACACTGTAATATTCCAGCTATTTAATGATGACCTGTAAATTATCAGTGCAGTGAGATTGATATCATGAGGAATGGTAGGGGTACATTGACACCCTATAACCATGTCATCAAGCCTGACCATCCTATCCATTGTGTTGGCATCCGTGAAGATCGGGTTAGAATTGATCTTCAGTAACCCATGCTTGTCGTAAGAGGCCACTAATGGAATCAAGTGGTCAGACTCGATGACTTGGTTGACACATGTCATCGTATCCCCATTGCGCAGATCAATGCTCATGCTGTTGATCACTGGATTGTCTGGTCCAGACTCGATTATTTACAGACCGCCGCCATATAGCTGGAATATTGCTGAGTGCAGCGTAAAACTAAACTCACTCACTCACTCATTGTGCTGGCTGTTATGACTTGCATAGGTCAGTCACTGGAGAATCCCTAGTGGGATTTGTTAACCGTATGTTAATCACATAATCATGCAGATCATCGGGATCATATCAAGATCCGGCATATCTGGAACTCTTCATAAAGATTGAATAACACCTTTCTTTGTTTTAAACTAGTAGACAACTGCTTTTTCATGCTGACATTCTGGGGAAGTTTGAAAATGAAAAGTCACAATATTTTCAGGAACACATATTCAAATGACAAAACCATCAAATTGTATGACAAACATACAGACAGTGTGCCATGACAAGAGCACAAAAGAAACCTTCATTTTGGTGAGCCACAACATGAAATTCAATAGTTATTTAAAATATAGCCGAATACACATCATCATCTTTGAAAAATGCATTTTCACCATGTAATATTTCATCCACAATCACTAAATATAAAATACATTCCTCAACCATGAAACCTGAATGTGTCGCAGCCATGTGGATAAGGATCTGTGATCTAACATTTTATGCATCCAGATAAAATTACAGCTCTCTGATGCATTTCAAACATTGCAGTCACGGGAAACATATCAAAAGATACAAATTACATGGCTTCTCCTGCCAGTATAATTATATTTCTGTTTATGTATTCAAAAATTTGTATGGAGAAAGTTGTTCTCAATTGTTAATAGCGACGGTCTCTGCAACTGCTTACTTTACAATGTAGTCATTGTGAAATGAAATTTAAATTCTCATCCACAACAACGTATGTTATGGATTTACAACTTCTTTAATATTTAAATCCATAACATACGTTGTTGTGTTACCTCCCATCTTCTAAATGCCCATCAAGCATCTGATTTCTCATCCAGTTATGACAATGTCATTTCCAACAGTGACACAAGACAATTTGATTTCTGGAATGCAAATGCTTATTCGGATCGATATTTTTGTTGATTAAGCACTATAGTCTGTTTGCAGTGAAAACGTACCGATGAATTTCACTTTAAACAAAAAAGTAAATTGAATAAAGTGAAATTAAAATTGCGAATCCTCATAATTTTACCTTGCAAACTGAACATTTAAATCTCAGAATTTTATTCAACTTAGGATAAAAGTTGTTTAACAAACGATCATAGTTTCAAATCGCTATTATTGGTTTGTATTACAAGGGGGAATGCACATTAAATGAAACACCGAGAACAAGTAGGGTTGGTCTAAGTTAACGCTCATCACGTACCACACATGCATTTGTTTCACTGTTCCAACTACTGCGCTTACCCCCTTAATTTACAAGAATTTACAAGGGTCTTACAGTCCTGTACACCCTTTCAAAACACTGTGTAATTAATAATGTCCTTGATTAATGCCAGTCATGTTGTGTACTGTTGAAAGTTTAGCTATTAAGTATTAACCCTACTATTAGTAAGTAACATTCAAGGAAGTACAATAAATTGCATAAATTATGTTACTACTTGGCTCTAAATTAAATTATGTCTTATTTGGTTATCCATGAAAACATATTTACCACTACTTAACAGAGTGTAACATTGAAAGTGGCATTGCTCATATTATGTTAACTTTTCCAATAAGTCATAGATAACCAATGTATTTAAATTAAAAATCTTTTGACTTTTTGCATCTTGGTCTTTGGTCTATTGGACCTGTACCATATAACATATACTTGGTCTAGCCAGCACAAACATAGTGAGCTCCATTAATCTTAATTTTCTAGAAATGTGAAATTAATGTTGTGACTCAGTGTTTGATATGCTTGTCTTGTGTACAATAGCAGCTGGCAATATTTTCAGTCACAATGAAAACAAAAGCATGCTTTATCTTTCTCATAACAGAATGACAGCAGATATGTCAGTTATCTTAAACAAACAGACAAGGCAACAAAAACAAGCACTAACTTACCCTTCATCCAGAATAACACAGACAACTTAAATAACACAAACTTTTCAAAGATTTTACATTGAAACTATACTTACAACCACACAACTTTAACAATTTTACCCTTGATACTGAATTACAGAATACAGATAATGTGATTTTAGCTCTAACCTCCATCCAAACAGATGTGATCCCACAATACAGAGTGACATGAACTGGTGATGTTGTCACCAACTGTCACCTCAGTTCATGCGAAGGTCGCCTGATATGTGGAGGTTATTTGCATGTGACAAACATGGTTATACAGGCCTGCTTCCATTGGCTGCTACACACTGGTTAACAGTGAAAATTCCACAGTAAATGAGGGATCAAGACAAATACCATGACTGATTTCTATTGTAGGCACAGGGAACATATGGCTTGTCATTTGTTAGATGGTGCATTAAAGTAGGGTAATTCTAATACTTTGCTAAAACTTGGTAAATATGACTGTTATTTTGCTCAGGTCACAACAAACTGAATCCTTCATAATAAATTTAGAATAATTTGTTAATTATTCCTGGTTTATTACTTACAAATGTACTGCATTTCTGGCTGGTACTAACACCTTTTCAACTGACAAATATTAATGATTTAAAGACAGTGATGATGGTATCTGCTGTAATACAGTATCAGTAAATGCCTGACTTTCACATAATAGTATATAGCTTAATGATGTACAAAGTAATGTCTGACTTTCACATAATAGTATATAGCTTAATGATGTACAAAGTAATGTCTGACTTTCACATCATAGTATGTAGCTTAATGATGTACAAAGGAATCTCTCTTTACTGACAAGTATGTAGCTTTCTGATGTGTTTGTTCTGACTTTCACATAATAGTATATTGCTTAATGATGTACAAAGTAGTGCCTGACTTCACATAATGGAAATGAAGTTTGACTTTCACATAGCATAACCCATGGATAAGATGACCCCTTCACAGACTGCTTTTTTTGGTCCTCAAAATTCGGCTCATAGACGGTCATATACCGTAATAGTATATAGCTTAATGATGTACAAAGTAATGCCTGACTTTCACATA